AAGGTCTCGAACCTGCAACTCATTGCTCCAGTTGATTATGTACATCACCCGGCCACGCAGCCAAGTGATTTATAATGAAGCAAATGCTAATGTGACGTAACTTTTTATTTCATTACACGCAAACTTCGTAACATAAAAATGTCGGTTGAACTAGTATAAGGTTGACCCATCAGAAGCCCATCATTTGTAGTTTAATTGTTGTTCGCTTGTGACGTCACTGATCTCAGTGACGTCACGGACATTAACCAATCACCGAAATGCGATTAAACCAGGCAACCAATCTGTCATGGGAATGACAAGATTGTATACGCTTCTCGATCTCAGTGACGTAACAAGAAAGCTGAACTGAAGGCGGAAATCCTCGTGGGTCAACCTTATACGTATAGTTCAACCATGTTGTAGGACCGTGTAAAACGTAGGTTGAGGGTGAATTGATTAATAACTTAAGTTTTTAGAGTTATTGGAAGTTAGAGACTTAAAGTGAAGATTGAGAAAGCTACAGGAATTTGGATTGAATTTTGTAAAGCTTGTATAAAGTGCTATTGTTCTCGAGACCGCGAGACCGAGGGTTTGTTTATAGTTTGAAATGGCGAGGGTATCAAAGGTGCTGACCCTTGTGGAACTCAAAACCGTCGCGGCGTCACTTCGAGGGTGTATACAAGTTTGGGCGACACCAGTGTATATAAGGACCTAAAAATTGGCGCCAAAGGTTGTTCCAGTGAGGTGACCGTCACGCGAGTACGGTTTACCGTCTGCGGACGTTGTGACGGCCGCGGCCGTGAGGCCGGCGGTTTCGCCGTTTTCAAACATTGACGGCCGCGAAAAACCTAGGTAGACTTATCGAGGCAGCTACGATTCCTGTGAGCACGTCAAGAAAATATGCAAGGGACGGCCACGACTTTGACATATTAATGCACGGTCAACATGAACACTATACGGCTGCGACTCAGCCGTGAAACAATGCGAGAGGGCCGCGAGTTTTACAACGATTAATTAAAACGCCCACCATGAGAAGATTCAAGTTTTCGAGCACTGCGCAACAACAATTCTAATCGGTACGGTCATCAGCATAGTACGGTAACAACTCTCATCACAAGAAACGGTACGGTCACAGTCATCAACCGAAGTACGGTCGTCATAAATTCTACGGTTAGACTGACCGTGAGACATTTATATCAGCGAGACACTACGGCCATGAAGAAAAAAATATAACTCAGTACTCACTGCAGTGAGTGACAGAGAGCGCATTTTCTTGTCGACGAAAACGTGAAGTCAAGGATGGACAGACAGACGGACAGACAGATGGACAGACAGACGGACAGACAGACAGATGGACAGACAGACAGACTGACAGACAGACGGACGGACGGACATGGCGAGCACAATAGCGCCTTTTTTCATAGATGAGAAAATGAGCTAAAAAGCGAACACGAGGACGCGCGACAACAGCTGAGATACGGCCACTTGGAATACGGCTGCGAACGAGCGCGTGAGATACGGTCGTTATTTACGACAGTCAGATTACTCGCAACGGAACTGCAAAGGATCGACGTTTTCTGTTAAATAGACAGATTTTTGGTGAAGTAAACTGACAGATTCTCATTTTTGATTGTTTTCAGATTACCCTTTTTCATGTACTAGAGATTTTTTGTCAACGTTTGACTTAAATTTCTCAATTTAATGTGAAATGTATCAGTGTTTCATTTCAACTCTCTCTCTATACTATTTCTACCGTAACCTATATCATTCGAGGACTTACAACGTGCCGCTAATGACCACTGTGGACCCAACCTGACCGAAATTAAAGCGATTGCCGATATAATAACAATATATAACAGTATAATAATAGAAAAATCTCAAATCAACCAAAACTTTTAAAACTTCTATTTATTCAGGTCTGGTTGTGATGGGTCTGGTTGTGATGGTCTGGTTGTGATGGTCTGGTTGTGATGGGTCTGGTTGTGATGGTCTGGTAGTGCTATTGTTCTCGAGACCGCGAGACCGAGGGTTTGTTTATAGTTTGAAATGGCGAGGGTATCAAAGGTGCTGACCCTTGTGGAACTCAAAACTGTCGCAGCGTCACTTCGAGGGTGTATACAAGTTTGGGCGACACCAGTGTATATAAGGACCTAAAAATTGGCGCCAAAGGCTGTTCCATAAAGGTTACCGTCACGCGAGTACGGTCAACCGTTTGCGGACGTTGTGATGGCCGCGGCCGTGAGGCCGGCGGTTTCGCCGTTTTCGAACATTGACGGTCGCGAAAAACCTAGACTTATCAAGGCAGCTACGATTCCTGTGAGCACGTCAAGAAAATATACAAGGGACGGCCACGACTTCGACATATTAATGCACGGTCAACATCAACATTACGGCTGTGATTCAGCCGTGAGACAATGCGAGAGCGCCGCGAGCTGTACAACGACTAAATTAAACGCCCGCCATGCATGAGAAGATTCAAGTTTTCGAGCACTGCGCAACAACAATTCTCATCGGTACGGTCATCAGCATAGTACGGTAACAACTCTCATCAGGAGAAACGGTACGACAGTCACAGTCATCAACCGAAGTACGGTCGTCATTAATTCTAAGAATATACTGGCCGTGAGACATTTATATCAGCGAAAAAATATGGCCACGAAGAAAATATACAACTCAGTACTTACTGCAGTGAGTGGCAGAGAGCGCACTTTCTCGCCGACGAAAACGTGAAGTCACAGACTGACGGACGGACAGACAGACAGACGGACGGACGGACGGACAGACAGACAGACGGACGGAAATGGCGAGCACAATAGCGCCTTTTTTCCATATAGGAGAAAATGCGCTAAAAAGCGAACTCGAGGACGCGCGACAACAGCTGAGATACGGCCACTTGGAATACGGCTGCAAACGAGGGCGTGAGATACGGTCGTTATTTACGACAGACAGATTACTTAACGGAACTGCAAAGGATCGACGTTTTCTGTTAAATAGAGTGATTTTTAGTGATCTAAATTGATAGATTCTCATTTTTGATTGTGTCCAGATTACCTTTTCCGTGTACTAGAGATTTTTTGTCAACGTAGGATGTGAACTTGAATTTCTCAATTTAATACGAAATGTACCAGTGTTTCATTACAACTCTCTCTCTGTAATATTTCTGCCATAGCCTATTTCATTCGAGGACTTACAACGTGCCGCAAATGACCACTGTGGACCCAACCCGACTGAAATTAAAGTGATTGGCGATATAATAGCAATATATAACAGTATAATAAAAGAAAAATCTCAAATCACCCAAAACTTGTAAAACTTCTATTTATTCAGGTCTGGTTGTGATGGTCTGGTTGTGGTGGTATGGTTGTGATGCATCTGGATGTGATGGTCTGGTTGTGGTGGTCTGGTTGTGATGGTCTGGATGTGATGGTCTGGTTGTGATGGTCTGGTTGTGATGGTCTGGTTGTGATGGTCTGGTTGTGATGGTCTGGTTGTGATGGTCTGGTTGTGATGGTCTGGTTGTGATGGTCTGGTTGTGATGGTCTGGTTGTGATGGTCTGGTTGTGATGGTCTGGTTGTGATGGTCTGGTTGTGATGGTCTGGTTGTGATGGTCTGGTTGTGATGGTCTGGTTGTGATGGTCTGGTTGTGATGGTCTGGTTGTGATGGTCTGGTTGTGATGGTCTGGTTGTGATGGTCTGGTTGTGATGGTCTGGTTGTGATGGTCTGGTTGTGATGGTCTGGTTGTGATGGTCTGGTTGTGATGGTCTGGTTGTGATGGTCTGGTTGTGATGGTCTGGTTGTGATGGTCTGGTTGTGATGGTCTGGTTGTGATGGTCTGGTTGTGATGGTCTGGTTGTGATGGTCTGGTTGTGATGGTCTGGTTGTGATGGTCTGGTTGTGATGGTCTGGTTGTGATGGTCTGGTTGTGATGGTCTGGTTGTGATGGTCTGGTTGTGATGGTCTGGTTGTGATGGTCTGGTTGTGATGGTCTGGTTGTGATGGTCTGGTTGTGATGGTCTGGTTGTGATGGTCTGGTTGTGATGGTCTGGTTGTGATGGTCTGGTTGTGATGGTCTGGTTGTGATGGTCTGGTTGTGATGGTCTGGTTGTGATGGTCTGGTTGTGATGGTCTGGTTGTGATGGTCTGGTTGTGATGGTCTGGTTGTGATGGTCTGGTTGTGATGGTCTGGTTGTGATGGTCTGGTTGTGATGGTCTGGTTGTGATGGTCTGGTTGTGATGGTCTGGTTGTGATGGTCTGGTTGTGATGGTCTGGTTGTGATGGTCTGGTTGTGATGGTCTGGTTGTGATGGTCTGGTTGTGATGGTCTGGTTGTGATGGTCTGGTTGTGATGGTCTGGTTGTGATGGTCTGGTTGTGATGGTCTGGTTGTGATGGTCTGGTTGTGATGGTCTGGTTGTGATGGTCTGGTTGTGATGGTCTGGTTGTGATGGTCTGGTTGNAGCAGTTGAAACATGTACGCTGTGAACCAGCAGTTGAAACATGTACGCTGCGAACCAGCAGTTGAAACATGTACGCTGTGAACCAGCAGCTGAAACATGAACGCTGTGAACCAGCTGTTGAAACATGTACGCTGTGAACCAGCTGTTGAAACATGTACGCTGTGAACCAGCATCTGAAACATGTATGCTGTGAACCAGCAGTTGAAACATGAACTCTATGAACCAGCTGTTGAAACATGTACGCTGTGAACTAGCTGTCGAAACATGCCACAAACTAACGACTAACCGCGACTAGAACAATAATATTAACTAGTCTTTGCAATCATAAATTCATATGGAAAATTTGACAAGGGTAAGAAAAACGTAGAATTATACCTTCAACCCAGTATTCATTGTAGTAGATTTAAATGAAAATTTAGTTGGGGTAAGAAAAACAAAAACTTTACTCTCAAACCAGACTATATCATAAAAACAAACGTAGATTGGGATCAGAGTAAGAGAACATCGAACAGGAAAACATATAAAATCTCACATCCAGTCGACTCACGCATGAACGCTCTTACCTTTACGAGTTTTTTCCGCAACTGCGGACAGCGCAGGAGCCTCAGCGTCGTCCGCGCTGCCGGCGTCAGCGCCTCCGTCGGGCGACGCGTCCACCTCCTGCTTGATGGCCGCCGCCTCCAGCAGCCCTCCTGCGCCATACATGTACCGGCAGAAAATATTAATTCTATTACAATATATAATACCGATTCTAATCCATTATATGAATTATTTATAGTTATTCATACGCCGGATCAAGGAGATTAATAAAAATATCATGTGTCAGGATGAAAACATGGCTTTATTTTAACTAAGCGAGGTTAGACTGATCAGCTCAGCGAGAATTATTTTAGATGAGACTACAGGGCGGAATATAGACCCTCATGCGGGTGCCCGTGCGATATGGGATGCCACGCAGCTAGTTTACATGCGTATATATAGAACATATATGTGCTCTATATACCATGCCTTTAAGCATGATGTGTAGGGAGGGCGTCTCTATAAGTATGATGTGTATACAGCATGTCTCTAGCGATGTGAACGTAGAGTGTCTCTAAGCATGATGTGCACATAGCGTGTCTCTAAGCATGATGTACATGTAGAGTGTCTCTAAGCATGATGTGCACGTAGCGTGTCTCTAAGCATGATGTGCACGTAGCGTGTCTCTAAGCATGATGTGCACGTAGAGTGTCTCTAAGCATGATGTGCACGTAGCGTGTCTCTAAGCATGATGTGCACGTAGCGCGTCTCTAAGCATGATGTGCACGTAGCGCGTCTCTAAGCATGATGTGCACGTAGAGTGTCTCTACGAGATATTACTCAGCAGTATATCTCTAAGTTGACCCCATTAAATTTCGGTAAACTGTGGCAGCAACTATCAACGCAGCTCCAACCAAATCAAGTTCAATTGTGGTAGTAACCTTCAATGAAGCTCATGTCAAATTAAGACCAATTGTGGTAGTAACCTTGAACGCATCCCACATAAAATCAAGATCAATGACAGTTGCAACCTTGAAAAAATGTAAATAAATTCCCGCGTTTCGGGAAAATGTATCCCGCCAAGTGACGCGGTGTTGACAAGTAGGAAGAGAACCACATGACCTGCCCGCCACCCGCCACACAAACAAGCTCTGCTCAGTGCGCCTCCGCCAGTCACTACTCACTACCCCGGGCATTTTGAGGAAGTATGGCGGCTTCAGTGGCGGGCGCCTCGAGCTAATATTATCTCGATTACCATACTGAGTTCAACCTTCTTGTGGGGGCACATAATGGTTGCTTGAATTCCACATCGAAGTCGTAATGATTCTCAGACGTAACGACTGACAAATGCTGCATGTTTATTGTTGGCAGTTTGCATACTGAATACCAACGAGTCAACGACCAATATGCTTTTCAAAGAAGCCACACTCTTCAGTGACGCCGAAAAAATAATGGGATTTTTTCACTTTTTGCATATTTAAATTCATAAAAAATCCTAGCACAAAATAAAATAAAATCATTAGCACGAAAATAAATATATATTTTTCAATTTCAAAATATTCATGCAAATAATGATCATAATTTGAGCTCACCTGGGGAAGTCATTCTTTTTCCTTGGAGTGTACGAGATGCTTCTCACAAATATAGTGGATTAATTTTCTATCCATTCATTAGGCAATTTGTTTGTGTACACACAAATCCAAAACACATGCCTATGAATTCTCTTTTTCTAATACTTCAGAATTATACCAACACTAGCATGCATGATGCCACGAACACTGAACAATTTCATTCATGAGTGTAATTCACATTTAACAATCCAGCGCTTTGCAAAGTTTTCTGTTAATTTTGGTGCCTAATTTCGGTCACAGAGCAAAACTTTTAAAGAGCGACGCACACCCTACCTCCTGACGTCTTTGCGCTAACTGTCAGTCGGTAGTCGGGACTCGGTACTCCCAGACTCCCAGTCTCAGGCTCCCTAGTCCCTCAGCTCAAATGGTGTTCCGGTCGGAGACGCGCTATTTGAAATCAATTTTGGTAAAAGAAGTCAAAATGTAAAGCATCCATATTACATATATTGAAAATCATAATTTTTCTTTAATAGAAGCAATTTGAAACTGATCAAAACTCTCGATAAATTGTCTCATAAATGAACGAACACTTTTTGATTCAGAATTACAGCATAATTTTTCAAGAAACCTAGAGTATCAAAATATTATGGTCCTAATATAATAATAAATATTATTATCGATAATTTAGATACTTATTTTGAGGATGGTGACTCAATTTAAAGGAATTGTATGCCATAAAACAATTTTGTCTGTATAGTTTCCGGTTTCGCGGATGGGTACTGCAAAAAGCGCAATTGTAAACAATAATAGTCGAGGAAGTCGTAGGGTACCTAATCAGGCTAATCAAGCCTATCAAGGGAGAGGTTTTGATTAGACTTACTTGACCATGGTCGAATGGAATATTGCCGAAGGGCGCAGACTCCTGGAAAGAATTGTGGATTTTGCTGCTGAATTTTCTTGGCTGTACGAATTTCATGGAACTCAGGTAAAACACATTACACATATTATGACATATAGAAACTAAATTTTGAGTTGAAATTGAGATCATTTCTAGATCAATTGAGAAATAAAGATAAATTAGAAATAAAGATAAATTAGAAATAAAGATTTTAGGTATTCAACTTTTTAGCCCATGCCTTGCTTGATTGAGAATACCTGATACCAGGCAGACATTCATAAAAATCACAGGTAAAAACAATCGTTTCTAAGAATTTTTAAAAACTGCATGCAAAATGGAATTTTTTTAATATTAGTAACCAAAAAATTAAGCCAGTTCCTCTTGAACAGGTGACATTGTGCATGGACATTTTTATATCTAATTTACAGGTTGCTTCTGCTTCTCTTTTTTCAATTGAAACTATAAATCTCTGCAGGGACAGCAGGGTTTGGCCATTGTATCATAAATATTCTGTTTTTCACAACTAAAGTGGCATGACTGTCATCAATACTATTAAGAATTTATTGACAAAATTACCTTTACTATGAGGTGGGGCATGATTGCTAATCAGTTCCTATTTAAGTTTAAAATAGTTTGAAAGAACGCTTGAAACAATATCTACATCTCAATTTGAATGACAATACTATCCAATCTATAATTCTTGATCTTAAATAAATACAGAATAACAAAATACAAATAATGGAATTTGAAACACTTAATTAACTTTAATTTTTATAACAAAAGGAAAGATAACATTTCAAAAAGGTGAATAGCACAAAAAGAAGAGGGTGACCAATAATGTAATTATTGATAGAAAAAAATACCATCTCAAAGCCTTTCAAATGTTCTTATTCTGTTATTTAATAATTAAACCGTTCACAAGTAATACAATTTCTACTAGGAGGTGATTACATTCGTAAAGTGCTGATTTATGTGCTATAGGCCTAGATGATAGTTTTATCTCTTATTTATTTGGCTCTTTAACATTGTTCATAATGTGCCATTGTTTTTTTAAGACTAAGATACATCCTGAACATTATATAAACATAGGGAGTAGCATTTTATTGAGCTTAAAAAAAATTTAAATTCATTGCTAATGGTCTAATTTGTTTTATAAAATAGAATTCTTTACTGACTACTGCCTACTGGTAGCCTTTGCTCTACTATTTCTATGTAAGTCTCATTGTTTCACTTTTTCTTCTAGATCTTAGACTCGGGTGTTCTGGAATCCTTACCTGATGGCTGGAGGGAAGCTTTAAGTTCACTGACATCCAACCAACTTAATGGCATTGCTGAATGCCAGAGTCAGGTATTGAATATTATTATTGTATTGTGTTTGAATACCATCAGCCTGTTTTTCTTGAATATTTCTAGATATTATAGTTCTCAATCTGAGAATTGCCCATGATAGATGAACCCTGATATTTTAAAAGCACTTAATTAAATCACCTGTTCTGTACACTCTTTTTTTTTGTTACAAACTAACTTGACAAGAACTCATTTTGTTAAACTTGATTTCATCAAATTGAAAGAATAGCTACATTTTTTTATGGTGTAGGAAACTAATTACATAAACTACGGATCAATTTAAATATTAGCCTCTTAAATCCAACTTTAACTTTTAGATGTTTTATTATTCACCAATAAAAATCACATTTTAGCTGTATACACTGATAATTTTCCAATATAACTGGTATTGTAGATATGCAGTTGAATAGCTCATGTATATCAAGTGTACCGTAAAATGGGGTAACTTTGACCACTTTTTTTTCAAAACAATGCCATTTTTTTACTAGATAAGTTAAACTTAAATTGAAACATGCAAAATACAGGTCTATACTGTAGCTTTACTCACCATAAATTGCTGGCTCCTGCCTTTCATAGTTTTGATGTAATTTCAAAAAAAGTGATGGTCTTTGTTACCCCAGCTCTTGGTTGTATACACTGATAATTTTCCAATATAACTGGTATTGTAGATATGCAGTTGAATAGCTCATGTATATCAAGTGTACCGGGGTTCAAAGAAAAAAAATTTATCCTAAAATATATTGAAAATGAACAAAATTTTGATAAAAATTGTCAAATTCTAATTAGAAAAAAAAACATCCTTACTTTTTTACACTTATTTTTTAGTATGCCTTCAAAATGTTCTATTGTAAATATTATCTAGCCTCCAGAATGTTAATACTATATATATATATTCATTTAAAAACTGACTGGGGAATCCTTTCTTTGAGTTCATTTAAATTCCTAATGAATTTTTCTTCCATGCATTTACAGGCTGAGTTTCCAGCAAGCCTGCAAAAGTTCCTGCAATCTTGCAATGAACTTTCCATCCACAAGATCCTGCCAGATGTCCAAGAGGAGGAATTACCAGAGTGGAAAGGTGCTCAGTAGATGGAATTATATGTTATTGATGCTTAGTAGACACCAAACAGGTTAATGCAATTCTATCTGTGTAAGTTTGGCTAGCAAGCTATGCGAAATAATTCCAGTCACAATCTAAAATTAATTTTTTCATCACTTTTTAACCTTACACAACACAGTTTTCTTCACCTGAATTGAGTTATTTTATTTGATCTAAGATATTTAAAAAATATATTTCAGTATTCATTGATTTATTCTGCTTATTTGGAAAGGGCTAGTAAGCTCTGTTAAACCTTGTTGATTAATTACAGCACTTGGTGTTGGAGAGAAGAAGCGATACGAGGTGCCCCGACTGACTAGGCTTGTGAAGCATGTGCAGACACACACCAAGTCTAATGTGGTGCTGGACATTGGCTGTGGCTTAGTGAGTCACTGAATTTTTTGTGTTCAACAATGTAATATTGTTTTTATCTTAACTGCATCATTTTGCTCAACACATTGATAAACATAATAAATTGTTATCGATAAATGTCTAATTATAAGTTCTTGAGTTTTGTTTACAAGATAAAATTTTCAATTCATCTTCTATGATATGCAGTAGGTAGTGTTGACCTATAAAATTGTTGGTATATCTTTCCTACATTCAGGTAATCACTTTTTTATTTATGATTTAATTTTATCATGAATAATTCTGGATACCATATATTTAATGTTGTAACTCTTCACTTTAAGAGAAAAAATTTTTGTCTAGTTATATAGACCACCTTATCCTATTAGCTACGCTTCAATTATCTAAGTAATTGTTTATGATGACATCAGGGATATGTTGACTCCCTGTTGCACCACGACCTGGGCGCGCGGGTGCTGGGCGTGGAGAGCGAGCCTCAGCGCGTGCAGAGCGCGCGTGCTCGTCAAGTGCGGCTGTGTGGGCGCGAGTGTCCGCACCTACAGTACCTTGTGTGGCGTCTCGAGGACGACAAGGAGACCGTCCTGAAGGCGGGCGCCGTTGCCGAGCAGCTGGTGAACGCATCGCGTGATGCGCTGCCTTGTTTATGTAATGTGAAGAACAACATTCTTAGTAATTCGTCGTCTGAAGCAGAGAAGGTCGTGCAAATACCAAGCGGAACGATTTTGGAAGACAGTTTAGTTGGAAGCAACTCATCGACGAGGGGAAAAGAAGACAAAATGACGGTATCAACAGCGAGCTCAACAGGAATGAAATCTTCTGCTGCAAAACTTGAATCTAAAATGTCAACGGATGAGCATAGATCCAGTGCCGAGATTAAGAAAAGTGAAAGCTATGTGTGTCTGGAAGAGAGTTCAATTAAAGTCGGCTCTTCCATACCTGCGCATGAAGGCTCTCAGAATATTTTGGATAGCTCCTCTGAGATGTTCTTCCCGTTCAGTCTTAGTTCTACGAGCAGCGAGAGCGTGACGCTGCTTGGTCTGCATGCGTGTGCTGACTTATCCACTACGATGATAAGAGTATTCATGTGCTGCAACAGGATTTCCGCGATGGTTTTACTGTCCTGTTGCTACCATAAGCTTCAGGCCACCCAGCTAAATGCATCGAATTCCCAAGACTCCAGAAAAGCATCAACAGAAGATGACTCGGAAACTGATACAGACGTGACACATCAGTCGGAGACCAGTGAGGGCTACAAGAGCAACGTTTCCAACGAATGTACAAAACTCGACACAAAATCCAAGCTTTTCGCTAAACACAGCGCCTCTAATCGTCCTCAGCACCTCAAATCTCACATGCCTATGACTCCAACTAACAGACGGATAAGTGAGCCCGATTGTTTGTTCAAGAATTTCCCGTTGAGTCGCTCGTTGACTGTTCTAACCTACCAACGCGGCTTCAGCCTCAGCGTGTACGGTCTCAGACTTGCGTGTCAGGAGCCTGGCGCGCGCTGGAGGAACATGCAAGCCGCGCAGCACCGCGCGCACGAGAACGCCTTGCTCTTCCGCGCCGTGCTTGACTGCGTCTGCGCCAAGAGTGAGTTTACGTATGCTATTCTTTCATTTTAATAGAATTATGCCATTTTCGTGAGATCAAACGAGTGTAAGTTACTTTATTTTTAGATGCAAGATACCTACACTAAACCTTATGCATTATAACGACGGGCTTGACTGTGTCCGTGCTCACAGTGAGTATATGTACGTAAATTCTCGTATTGCTCAAATAAAGTTTCGTTGGTTTATTTCGATAGAATTCTCTACTGTGCACGCGTTTCACAACGTTATAATCAAATTACATTTTCAGGTGCCTATATAACTTCAGGCTGCTGCTGCGAATATATTTGTATTTTGGCAAGCAAATAAGAACTAATCCGATTATTCACGAAGTAGTCATATTATCAGTCAAGATCTATTTCTTTTAGTCGTAGAGTAACAGAGACAAACTCTATTTACATTCATTCATATTGGGAACTCTTTTGAAAGAAGATTCGTTGTTGCACGCTCTTTATTTGTACTTGTATAATGACAATATTGACTAATTACCTAGTAAGAGAATGTACATGAATTTTTCGCATTCATTTATTGAATTTTCTGAAGTATTCTCCTGCAATTCGCAAAACTATGTGTTATATCATGATCAATATCTCAGGATTACATTTGTTGCAGATGGCGTTTATCTGGTGAAGAAGAAGCGGAGATGCGCCAAGAAAGAGCAGCTTTCTTCCTTCGAAAGTTACTTGGGTTCTGTCTTACAATGCTACGAGATCAAGTCCGCTAGTGCAGTACCCAAATACTCAAGTCCACCGCATCGTCCTGCTGAAGAAGACTCATCATCGTCATCATCGTGTGAAGACCGGGACTGCGGCGCCAGCGCTTCCACAGAGAGCTCACTTCTCGGCAACAACTCTAAGTCATCAGAAGTTCCTGCATCGGCTGTTGAACCGAACTGCAGCGTCAACGATCATTGTATTTCTAGCTCTGTAGATATGCGCAGTAATGCTTCTGACTCTGTAGGTATGTGCAGTAGTGCCTCGAGCTCTGTAGGTATGCGCAGTAATGCCACGAACCCTGCAGGTATCCACAGTAATGCCACGAGCCCTGTAGGTATGTGCAGTGAAGCTCCCAGTTCGGGAAAAGACCAACACCAAGAAGGTGTTTTCTTTCTTCCAGAAAAGGCCTCTTCTGAGGTTACGCTTGACAGAAACGGATCTAAGAGCATTCTGACTGAACAGGTTTTACGGCAAGAAAAAAGTAATCAGAGTGAAAATGAAATCCCGGCTGACGATTTTCCCGTCGATGACAGCCTGGCAGCAAAGCTGAAGCGTTTTGAAGATTCTATAAATTCAAAAAAATCGTCTCAAAAATCAAGTCTGTCAGGTGTCTCAGGTGCGAAATCCGTCGATCCAAAAACTTTATTTTCGGGAGAAATAACTTTATCCCGACTGATGCCTGCCCTGCGAGAGTGCTACAGTCGGCACCAGCACCTGGGACCGCTGTTGGAGGCGGTCACAGGTCTTCAGCTGGCCATGCAGGGCGTGCTGGAGGCCCTGGTTTTGCTGGACCGCGTCCTCTACGCCCTCGAGTCCAAGTTCTGCTCGAGTGTGCAGCTCATTAAAGTCTTTGACGCGGCGGTGTCTCCGCGCTGTGCTGCCCTCGTCCTCTACAAATGAGACTGTTTTGTTAAATGCTCCTGTAGCGATAATAGCTGAGCAATGACAACCGAAATTGCCGAATTAGCTTATTATTACATTCAATTGCAAGTGATAACAAAAGAAACGAAAATATTTTTAGACCGTTTTTTAGCGCATTTTCTCATTTATGGAAAAATACCCTATTGTGCTCGTCATGTCAGTCCGTCCGTCCGTCTGTCCGTAATTTCACGTTTTCGTGGATTTTGAGAAAATGCGCTCTCTGTCACTCACTGCAGTGAGTACTGAGTTATATTTTTTCCGATCTTCCTTTCTTCAGTAGCTGCTCTTATTACCCAGATGTCTTCTTCTTTTGGTGAATTCCTCTTATTATCATTATTGATGCGTGCTGATGATAATGAGCTTTTTCCATTACACAAATGTATTAGACTTGCGTTGAACTATTTCTACATGTAATCTAGATCTATTCCCATTACAATGAAGTGATTTAATTATCTAGATGTGATAAAAAAAGAAAGGTTTACAACTCTGGGTGTATTTTACCTAAAACTACATTCAACATTTTTATAGGTGTATTCTACCTCTAACTAAAATTATGTCTGTCAATCGCTGACGATACGTGTACTTCTGCCGCTACGTGTACTTCTGCCGCTACGTGTATTTAGGCCGCTGCCAAGTAGACTCTTTTACTTTGCCTGCCTCGTATAGACGGGTCAACACGGTGATCGTAATGATATTTTCCGACAATTGGACAGGTGCGAAATAGATAACTTTTTTAAAGCACTAGAAGAACTAAGAACTACTTTTACTACTACTAATGAGTTCATATTAGAAACCTTAATTGAGTCGTTGCGAAGCTCCTACACCTAATTTTAAGGCTGTTTATGAACCTTATATGCTTTTAAACATTATGAAACGTGTATGAACGTGATATGTTTCTAAACGTTATAGAAATTTTCTGGGCGTTATAGGTTTATAACCGTTATTAACCGTTTCTGAACGTTACATTACTCTTTTTAAACGGTGCCATTACAACGAAAACGTTATGTTAGTCGTTACCAACTCGGTGCCACAACGCCTCGCCTCGCCTCATGGATGGTTTCATGAGCATGCAGTTTTAATATTTACTTTAAACTACTTAGGATGCTTGTGTAGTATAGCTCAAGCGAATGTATAATTTAGAACTGTTTTGAAGTATTTGCGTTGCCATTATGGAACAATATTTTATTGTCGGTGCAAGAGACTATACTTTTTTAAGCACTGAGCTTGGCTGTGCGCTGTGCTTTCCCTGTTATATGTAAGCGATAGTACTTTATCCTCGTTTATCTTGATTATTTGTTGCCAAAGGATTTAGCGTGTTGTCTAATTCTATTAGTTTTAAATGCGTTAACATTTGAAAGAGGAGGCTAGGACTGCCTTCTTCACAACTATTAATAGAAACGATACAATTCTTTCCAATTATTAGAATCGTTTATCAAAGACAATGGTAATGCTGTTTTTTGTTCATAGTAAACGATCTGGGGCCGTACTTTCAAAACTCGCTAAGTGAACGTAAGTACTTACGCTCTATTTTCTTGTCTATGATTGGTGAATTTTGCTTGAAAGGCCGTCAATGATTGGCTGATGAATTTACGATCTCTTAACTTTTTTTTGAAAGTATGGGCCCGGGACTCGTACTGAAAGAAATGGATAATGTCATATCTTAAGCACAAGAATTGTTTCCTCAACCTCGGTGTCAAAATGATCTCCAGCGATTTTCGGTGAGAATATCATAGGAAGTACTGAGTAAACATCCAGTGAAAGTATCTTTACGCTTAAATACCACAACCTATAATATTATTAATCAGTTCATTAATCATCTTAGTGGGATCACGGTTTTCAATACACGTGACTTGCAGAACCACATAGTATTTAATTTGGCTACAGAGCTCTCCCTTGTTGTCTACTGATTATATTTATGAAATAAATTCTTTCTAAATTAAATAATTCTTATTTTCCTCGCAACACTTTCCGTACGCCATTTTTGTGCCGTGTTATTGAAGGATTATTTCAAGATTTCAAAAAACGTGTTACCCTCAACGAACAGGCCATATCAGGCCTACACTTCAGCGCCGACATCACTATGTGAATGTCTTCAAAGTATCGGTGTCATCTTTTTTACAACACTTGTCTTGATTACTTTTATCAAAATTCACCTATGAATATATATGAAAAAATGTATTCACGAAAAATGTGACGTGTGTCACATAGGGACGTTAGTGAGCCTTAGCTGCCTGCGGGTACGATATATATATACCTATTTCGCTCTTTGCTGTGATATTTTACGTTTACGAGAAAGATTCAGCCTTATACGTGACATTTGGTAGATTGAACGCTATATTCATTGCATTTTCTCTAGATTTGAGATTTTTCAAGAATGTTCAGCCTTATACGTGACATGTGGTAAATTAAACGCTGTATTCATTGGACTTGGGTACTCACGATTTTAGATTTTTAAGAGACAGGTTCAGCCATATACGTGATATGGGAGATTGAATGCAAGATTGCTTGCATTTTCTCGTGATTTGAGATTTTTTTAAAAGGCAAGTTCAGCCTTATACTTGACATATGGTAGATTGGACGCAATATTCACTGCATTTTATTTCGATATAAAATTTTTTGCCCCTAGCCAAAGTAAGCGCCGCTGGTGTAGTGGTATCATGCAAGATTCCCATTCTTGCGACTCGGGTTCGATTCCCGGGCGGCGCAGTTGTATTTTAAAACAACGAAATGAATGCGAACTCGAGTTTTGAAGTCAGCTAATGCTTACATTATTAACAGTTTCTGAAAATTAATAACGACAAAAGGTATGCACATAAACGAAATTGTGTTTTTTAATTAAATGTCACTTCCGTCTTTTCTATTAATATATATGCCAAATCATAAAATGACGAATTGAAATCAATATAATGTGATAATTCAATTAATAAAAAATTATACTATTTTTTACGAGGTTACTATGCGTTTGCAAATACCTACTTGCATGATGCATCATTACTTACAATATGCTAATAAATTAATTTGATTTACAAAGGGGATAGCTAATTTGGTTTCACGCATCTCCCATACATTACGGGTTGTTCCTAAACCAATCAATTTACTATTTTATCCATTAAATGGAATAAGGCTGCATATAACAACATTCACTTTTTTGCATATGTAATTTTGTTCACGCTTTGAAGCTCATGCAGCTACTCCCAGAAGTAGCAAATAAAGAAAATAGGGATATTAACGGGTACTACTTTACTTTGCTCATTCTGTTGTAACAAATCGATTAAGTAAAGAATTTATTTATATTTGTATGATATGCAGATGCCAGTAAAATTCAATCATACAATTATTGATCTCAATTCGTTGGCATCTTTCGCCAATTCTTAACTTAATGTTCAATTTAAAACGGCATTAAAAGTTGCGGTGCTGATATGCCAGTAAATTTTCAAACAAATTTTTTCTTTGTAAGATAAGCTACTGATGCAAAATCAACTACAGACTAATAATTTTTTTCAAAAATTATATTTTATTTTACGGCCGCTTCTTTGAGAGGTTTAAAACTTTCAACAGTGGGTTTCCAATCTGAAATGTTTGTTATAAATAAAAAAAAATAATCAAACTAATATAATAAAATAATTTGTTTCCCACAAGTTTTAATAATAACATATTTCTACTGTCTGACAAGAAAAAGAAATTTCATTACTGTTTATACCGGTGTTTGTTACAATTTTGGTGAAAATGTTTGACATCATATTGTCCGCTAACCGTTCGCCGGCTTTTATGCAACGCCGAGGCACAGACAGAAATGAGCTGCAATCGACGAAAGCTGGTTTCACATGGTAACAATTTAAACATTCTTTTCCCAGCCCCCATGGAAAAATTATCCATTGTAAAGTTACGGTTTTATTATTATTCTCCATTCATTTAGGGATTTTTCAATTTACTTTTGTGAACTTTTATTCACTCACCGAGATTTAGTGTGAGTCAGTGAGTGAGACTGTGTGCAAATTTGTGAGCTGTGATGACTTCCTCCTCTCAATGCCAATGGTTATTGTTTTTCCTCGTCAGAAGTCAAGTCTAACTAGCCTATTCAAGACGCATGAATTATAATATTGAATAATACTTTTAAATGCATAAAATGTCATCTAATCATCGTTCTGGCTTTCCACGGCGCCCAGTTTGGCCGTGGGAGTGCAAATTCTTCACCCGTGATCACGAGAAAAGTTTCAAATCCTCAACACGAACTTGCAGACATTTTTACCCGGACACAAGCGACGAAAATACTAACGGGTTGCGACACAAGCTTTCTGTGAACGGTAGTGCTAACAACCCCCTAGAAAATCACGTTATCCAAAAGTATAATCAGTGCAAGTTCAGAGAATATGACGGGAACTTTATTATCAATAAAGTTAATTCTGAAAATGGCCACGCCCACTTCGTTAGCGATGACAGAGATTTCATAACTAGTCAACGTGATTATCGAGAATCTGGTAACAAAGAAAACATGAACCAGTGCAATATGAAATCGGTATCAAGTTCAAGCAACGTCTGCAACGTAGAATTTTCTTCTGTAGACGTTTTTCACCCTGACTGTGCCCATTCAAGCTCAATGATGGATTTCTATCAAGCGGCGAGTGAAACTAATCGTAAGTAAACTGTAATGTCAAAGTTATTGATCTGAGACGTGCCAGAAAGAGAAACTGACGTCTGCAAAATTCATGATTTTTGGTACAAGCCAGCTTGATTATTTAAATTAACTGTGATTTAATCCACTTGATGAAAAACGATCGATCTTGAAGATTTTATTTAATTTGAATGTTTGGTCCTTAAATTTGAATGTTTAGTCCTTAGTCCTTACCCCTTTACTTTAGTCTGCACTCTGATGACTCTGCTGACACTAACTCTCGTTAAGAGGCTTTCAATTCTAATACGACTAACGTCAATCCACTCTACTCGCCAGTCGCTACAGCACCAACTACTAAGTCTAATGTAGCCAGTTTTAAATAGAAACTATTTTATTAACAGAACTGAACTACAACTTTCTAGCAACATCAAAACAGCTTCGTAGTTTCTATGTGGTAATCAAGTCCCACAAATCGTAATTTTGAACAAGTTATTATACGTTTTTTATTGACGTGCGGCGAGATTAGTGCAGTAGTACCGTCTCTGCTTAGTGGCGACTCGTGCTGAGATTATGGCACGTTCCATAGACGTTAGAGTTAGGCAGAAAGCCTTTTTTAATGTTTAATGTATCCAAAGAGAAATGATTACGCCTATCACTGAATTTTCCTAGCAATATTTTCATAATTTACTTTCCCTTGAAATGTTCGAACGTTTGGTCGTTATTCCTTATTTTTTGTTGCAACAAGAAGTTGTGGGTGGCGGAGTCACAGCAGCAGCGTTCACGGCTCAGGCTGGCGTGCTCTACACCAACACGCTGCAAACTTTGTACAAACACCCCACTCCGCAAGTGAGCTCTTGCTTATTAGTGTACTCTGTACTGCATATGATGCGTCGGCAATTGAAAATTTTGATGTGCTATTAACATTACTTTTACCTAGTTCTTTATCGGTTCTTGATTAATCGATCTTTGTTTGCGAATTGTTATTACCGGGGTAGTCTTAGCTTTGGGAAAGAATTAATTTTTCTGCTAAAGTGGTTGATTGCCCAGGTTGATGCGTACATGCAAAGCTGCCTTTGGCCGCACCTGCTTCGTGACAGCAGCAGCGGCGGCAGCAGCAGTCTGGATCATTTTAAAGCTGCAGGGCGCAGCAACAACAGCAGCAGCTGTCAGCACCACCCCAGCACTGCACACTGCAGTGTAAAAGCTGCTGAGCTGCGCACTGCGAACGGTGCAGCACTGAGCGTCATTGCACCGCGCAAACTCGATGAGGTCGAACGACAAGAATTCATTAATGTAAGCTGTATACATAATTACTTGACATGATTAATTGCTTGTAGTGCCGAGAAAAACTGTTTAAGAAGTGCCGAGAAAAATTGTTTAATGATAACATATTTTCTATAACTGTGAACAGTTGTTTACAATTAACAATCGTTCTTTTGACATTCGTGCAGTTGAAATGAAGAAGAGGTTAACGCTTCTAATTTTATAATAATTCTCACTCAACTGGTTTCAATAAAATGGAAAACTAGTTTTATTTTACACCGGTACCTGGAACGCCAATCATGGAGGTGTTGGTTTGTGCAGTTGTTGGTCGCCCACCTGAACAGTGAACCCACCTCGACGGTGTGCTTGGGCTTGAACGCGGCGGGCAGAGTGGTGGGCACGGCAGCCACACCCGCCACACTCGCCCGCTTCGTGCGGGGTGTGCTAAACATCAACGAACACCTCATCCTCCCACACATCACAGCCGGCGGGGAGAGTCTGCGGTGTGGTGAGGGAGTGGGGGCTGCGGTGTGGTGAGGGAGTGGGGGCTGCGGTGTGGTGAGGGAGTGGGGGCTGCGGTGTGGTGAGGGAGTGGGGGCTGCGGTGTGGTGATGGAGTGGCGGCTGCTATGTCATTCAAAATTAATTCTCGGTTGTAATTCAATCTCACTGCCTCTCATTCCTCTTACGAGAATTATTCAACTATACAGGCTTTCGTTAGGTTCGTGCATGAATTGCCAGTTTAAGCTACTCTCCAAAATGAGTTATATCTGCGATTCCTATCTTATTTGATTCAGTAGACGTTAACTCTTTGTCAACATTGTGTATAATCCGTCTTCACTGATATTCTGTACCTGAACGCCTGGTGCCGAGAGGTATACTGAGAGTTGAGACACGCTTGTATCCCTCAGGTGTTCGCTGTGTCCCGGTACGAGGCATAGTTACGAGGGAGCTGCTGCGCGACGTCTGGGTCATCGAAGTGCTGCTCACAGCCGACCAAGTAAGCCCAAACTTCAGTAACGAAGTATTGAATAAAAAATATTTCGCTTGAAAACAATACGCGTGTAATTCTGGAATTCCGATTTAATAGAATTTTGGCAGTTCGAAGTAGGCAAATGAACTCTATTCGTTTAAAAGTTATTTAAAAATAAGCCAGGCGTTCTAACGAGAATTGCGATAATTGTAGAAGCTATATCACACAATCGTATATTATCGAACAGTACAAATTAGAAAGTACTGAAACTCTTCTCGAATTTGGAAGCTCTTTAATTGCAAATTGGGCGTCGTGTTTGTGCATTTCATTTGTATCACGAGCGAACATCTTGGCGAACATTGTTCCTCCACGTGACATGTTTAATTTGGCGCCACAACCACCGCTTGTGTTGCAGCAGGAGTACTACAACCCTTACAACAGCAGCAGCTACTGGTACCTGGGCCAGGGTGGTAGTGTAAACTGCGTTCCCTTCGACAAGTTCTGCCAGAGCATCATCGATACCACGACTCGCCGTGTCGCCCCTGATGTAAGATCCGTCGCATTTCATAAGTATTGCATCTCATGATGCTATTCGTTATATACTAGTTTTATAGCCTGCTTTGAACTTCGTAGATATCATTTTTAAACGACTGCAAAAAAGTGCCCTCTAATTTAGGTGGAATTATTTAGGCGAGTTGTTTATTTATTGCACAAAACCGAGCCATTGAGCCCAATACAATAGCTCGTGCTAATTTTATCAAAGTTTGACATTGGAAATGTAGAAAATTCTAACGGATAGTAGTAAATGGCACATATTGAGGGAACACATAAAATATTTGAAGCCCTTTAAGTCAGCTATCAAATTTCAGCGTTCCAGTAAAACAATTTTTGATTATTCAACTATTTAAATGTAAGTGCATTCTACACTTGATGGGATAATTAAAATAATTATTCTAATATTATAGTTTAATTGGTAAAATAACGGCGTAAATTACATACCATGTACATAGCTGAACTTACACACCGTAATTGACTCTGAAAATGTTACACTGAATCTAATAATCGTCGACTGAGTTTGCGTATTGTTGCAGATCCAGAGGAAGTTTACCGAGATTGCAGAGCTAGAAGAGCAACTCCGAGCGCTTGAATTGCAGCAAAAAGATATACTTCTCGTCGAAGACGGAAGAGAAGTTTCATGTAGAAATCTCGAAGAGCGGGACGAAACTCGCGATTGCCCCACGTTTATCCTTGACGCGGCAAGCCGTGCGGTGAACCAAGACGGGGACTCCGAAGCCGCTGATCGCAAGGTCTCGTCGGCCACGAGCGCGTCTGCAGGACATCTGTGTGAGCGCTGTTGGCTGCGAGACTGTCCTATTGATGCCTACTAGCCAGACCACTTGGAGTGAGAATTTATCGCTTACTTGCTTTGTTTTGTTTGAGGTCAAAGTCATATTTCAATTATGACGATAATTGTCTTTTTTTGCCGCATCATTCAAGGTCAAGTGATATGGTACTGATAAATTGACCATATCGCGCGGAAATTAATAATATAATGTGCCCCGGTACGAGGCATAGATACGAGGGAGCTGTTGCAAGTTAGACGTCGTGTTTGTATATTTATTTGTATCGCGAGCAAATATCTCAATTAATTGTTGGAGTTACATCGCACAATCATACATCTAACAGTATAAGTCAGAAAATACTGAACATCAGTACTTTCAGTAAACCGCAGGTTTAAAATGTACTTTTTCTTTATTTTATAATTTAAATTGATTTAAGTTTTTATTTTTTCTCATTTATTAATTTGCTTGTTTTGTGCTGAAAAGTTTAGTTTCTTTTCACAAGTCAGGACCACATTGGAATTACACGGAGAAATTATCAGTTTCTCGTGTACTCTGTTGTCGAATTCGTTTTGCGCTTAGCAATTGTATTTTCTTACGGAATTTCAGATAGTATATATACGTATTGACCTGTACAATTTTAACTTTCTTGCAAAATACCAAGTTAGGTTGGTATTGTGATGAGGAATTGTAGATTTGTCACGTAATTTTAGATCAATTTGATTTTGTGTGATGGGAAATTGTTTTTTCTCGCTGAGTTTAACCCACTAACTGTTCACTTTTCCTTCGATACTTCCTTATTCATATCCGTTCAGTAACATTGGAGAGCCAAATTGATTATTGGCATTAGACGAACAGCTTTTCCCATAAGTTGGCCCTCAATTGTGATCTCTAAATGAAGATCAGGGCGCATACTATCTATTGTTATTGGTTAAAGTTCATGATTTATCTTCGGGCTTCACGGCAGTAAATGGGTTAACGCCATGTGCATGCTGTGTCGATGTTTACCGTTCTCTCAAGAAACGAAGCTTCTTCCTTTACATACATCTATGCTACCGCAGTCATGAGTGAATTGATTGGAAGCCGCCCAACTTCACCGAATTCGTCGCTGGTTGCAGTATATTAGTCTTCCGGAGCGAGTGTTGTGCATCGATGAACTTGCGTAATTCTTCAACTACACAAAACTGATGCATTTAAATTTTACCTAAGAAAGTTTGTTGTTTAGGTTAAATATAACTTGCAGAAGTTTCATTGGAACCCAAAACTTCATTCGAAACGAGATTTATTCACTCGTGTTTTTTTTGTGTCTGACATCATGAGTGAGGGCATAATCAAAGTGCCAGAATGACAAGTTGTGCATTTCGTGGTTCGGAAAATAATCCTACCCAATCGGTGACCAGTCAAGAGGCTATGATCCAAGCCAACTCTTCCTTCACGTCACCGCTACATGCTTTCCAATAGTTATGGTGCCGTTCAACCATCGAGGATAATCAAGAGTTCAATTTGACACTTGTTTCTTTCTGGCCTTTACTAAAAATAATTTATTTCTCAACACCCCTAGTTGAGACTCGACGCTATCTCGTAAAGCACTACGAAAATATCAACGCAAAATGGACAAAAATAAGCTTAAGAACTACGACAGAATTTGACCGTGGATTAACATATGAAAGGAATTTAAATATGAAATCGAAAAAATTGTACAGGCAAGAAATTATTTTTCTCAGTCAAGGCAAATAATAATTGGTCTTCGTGAACGACGGCAAATAATCTCGGATGACATTGATCAAAGCCAATTATAACTGCGCATTTGACGAAGATTTTTCGACATGAACACTACCTAATATTTGGAAAGATTTCAATCAACTAAACCGGTGGAATTGAATAGCCACCATGAACGTGACAAGCTTATAACTAGGAAATTGATGTCGCCGTTAACAGCGAAAGCATAATTTCGCCAGCATTTTTAGCATTTTCATTCGCAAATTTTTACACAAAATATCCATCCCCATGAAATCACATATGAAAACGTTAAGTCGTTAATTTCGACACCTCGAAATGCTCAATTACGAGAACAATATGAAGCAAGTTCTAAAGAGATAATGATTCCCAATGCACTCTAAATTAGACAAATACTTTAGAAAGCAGTGATTTGCACATTAAACGTCCAGCACCTCCGAACTTATATTCCTTACACGAGAGATAAGATACCCAGCTACATTTTTAGTGTTTTACAGAGCGGGCTCTCGAGCTCCTTCCTTACAGACACATCAATTTCATTATAATTTATGCTTTTTGTCTGACGTGCCTACGGTTAATGAGGATAAAGGAATGAATCAAACAGTCACGAATTCTGTGCTTTCTTATCACAAGTCGTGTTGATCATTAAATATACGACTTACTGTTGCAAAGCAATAATTTCAATGACGAAAAAATTTCATTATAAACCATTTCATTCCAGGTGAAGTTCAATGCATCAGAGATAACGCAATTACAAAGTCTAATGGTACAAATTTCAGCTTAAACTACAATAAAGCAGCTAGCACTTATTTAGTAATATATTACAGTACTTTATTTTTTGTGGACACAAGATTAGTCCAGCGTGGCCGACAAGAATAATATTCCAGCATGACTTGCACCAATCACAATTCTTACCAGAAAGTAAATTTGGGCTTAAATCGAACTCTTTTTAAAACTAGAGAGATTTGCAGAGCGACAAAGAACGCATGTGTGTGAGGTGACACGGCTGTGAATAAGACGCCGAGTTTAGCAAGCCGGAAGAGGAGGTGCAGGGAGAGGTAGGAGGCAACCGCGCACACTTCACGGGCGGCCCGAGTGGTCACTTCACCTACCTGCCAAACAATGACATAAAAGCATGCACGTTAGACTTGCTTGCTTTTCTCTACACAATTAGGAACGGCATTATAACAACTAGACCAATTTGTGGTATGAAAAAGGAATCTAGATCAGCCCTTGACCATCTAAATCAGACCTTAAAATACCATCGAACAAACAACTTTCTCCCTCCCTCCTCTAGACTTGCTTTCTCGTCTCTAGTTTCATGGGAATAACAAAGGAACAAGTTGACAAATTTGTTTACTTAGAAAGTAATGAGTTGACATTTTACCGAGGTTCACCGGCTATTGTCCATCTCAATCTTGCCAAGTTGCACGTAATCAGTAACCTTGACTCGAGCCCACAGACCCTCATCCTGAACTCAATAATGATTGAAAAATGAAGGATCACAAAAAGGCTGATTAGTCTTTTCAAGTAAGGTGATTTCAACACAAAATTTAACGAGAGATATTGTGAAATAAATGGAATAATAACTCTCTTCCATAACAACGAAGAAATTACGGCCTTTCGAAGAAGTTTAAAAATTTAAATTCGAAGAAGTTTAAATTAATTTGCAGAGCCCCGACAAGGACGTTCAGCCCATGCAATAGTTACTGCAATCCCAAGAAACATAACTTCCCTGCACCTCAATATTCTCCCTTCAACAAAGAATAACATGAATTAGTTAGAGGGATTTCGTCAGCATATTGTGTCAGGTAGGCAGACACAAATAGCAGAAAACAATCTTTGAAATAAGGGTTACATTATAATTCGCTACCACAAAGCAAGACATAATTTAAAGAGTGAAGAAGACACCTCACAAATCCTTCATCCAGTGAAGAAAGTCAAAATTTTAAACGCTGATTTACCACACCAACTCTCAGTTAGTAAAGCCATCTCTCAACCCGCTTGAATACACCGAGCAAGAACAATTCAGTTCACAGCTCATCTCCCTCTAAACTGATCATCAAACTATCTAAATGAAAGGAGAAACATTACGGTTTCCGTACTTACAACAATAAACAATTGAACGACTTAACTGCAAGTAAAAATAAGATATACCAGCAAAACATCTTTTTAGGCTCCCAGAATGTTTTTAAATACGAGTATAGACTTTCAGGTTACATAGGCGTTAAATACTCTCAGCTTACGGCAGTGATCATAATAGTTCAACAACAGGAAATAAATGCAGTTGAAAGCACGAACAATTTCGTATAATAGCGTTTGCACTGGAAAATACGATAATGAATGCCACAGTGCAGTGAGACAAGCAAATAGGAATTATGCTCCTCAGAAATATGAAATTTTGCTCAAAATTTCACGAAATCAAAATAAAAGCAATAAATTTCTGAGAGATACAATTACGGTTTCCATTGATGGGAACAAAAGAATACTTCAGAGATGAAAACTAACTTGATTCTCCTTCACCGTAGAAATCAAAATTATCGATTCCAGCCCATCTGCTGCATGCCAGCACCGCCCATCGATTGATTGCCAGGGCCTTGCATCATCCCACCCCAGTTCTGCTGCATCTGAGACATCTGCTGCTGCATCTGCTGTTGCATCTGGTGCTGTTGCTGCTGCATCTGGTGCTGCTGCTGCTGCTGAGACATCTGCTGTTGAGGCATACCGCCATACATGCCAGGGTTACCCCCAAATTGCTGCTGTGGCATGTTGTTCCCTCCTTGCCCACCGGCCCCGTAGTTGCTTTGCATCATCGAGCGCTGCTGGAATGACGGCCCGCTTCCTCCGCTGCCGTCGCCATTAGATGGTCCTGGGTTACCCGCACCGTAATTTGGATTAACGGCATTTACTCCCATGAGTGGTAGAGGACCACCTCCTCCTCCATGAGAAGTGGAAGGCATGGAAGAAGCATTATTATTACTGCCTCCTGCATTACTGTAGCTATTGCTGCTTTCACCACGACGGGTGCCACCACTTGCAACGCTCGACCCACCACCACCAGCACCACTACCACCAGCGGTGGTGGAGGAAGAGCCTCCGGTTCTATTAAAACCTTCCTTGTCGTAGGACGAGGAGGATGACGACGTACCGTAGCCATTGCTGTATCCGCTGCCACCGCCGCCACGACGGTCGTCACGAGAACTTCCTCCTCCATAACCTCCACGATCACGGTCACGGTCACGATCACGATCACGATCACGGTCACGACCACCGCCTCCTCCTCCTCCACGCCATCTGTTGCGCCCACCTGTACACCGAAGAGATTTATTGACCTATCCTTTGTGAATTTCAAGTCGCTACAACGTTTATTCTAGGTCATAATACATTTGTTAACAGTTAAAAAGGTGCATGAAATGTTAGAATTCTTGTTTATGGTTGATCAGCGCCAGGTGTCACCGAATAAGACTAGTCACAGCAAATGTTTAACGATAATAAAAATCACATCACCTGACCCACCCATTAATCTACTTTTGTACGATGGTTAATCACGAACACTACCGAGCTCATCTGAGCCTTCATGACCTTGCAACTACCGTCCTGTTTTTAATTAATTGATAATAACCGCTGAAGTTAGGAATGTAAAATTATCTAACACCAAAAAACAAGCGTCTACACTCCCTCAACATAGAATTATAAGCTCAACATAGGTTATATATAAACATCAAGATTAAATGAAATGAACACAATGTGTACAATGTACATAAAGTGTGACAGCAAACACTTGAAAGACCATATGCAAGCCTGTCCTAAACACGACAGTCCCAACTAAAAGCAACTGATCAGTGCACATTTTGATTACCTGATATTGATATCGCAAATTCTGCGTACACAATAGAAATATTCAAGAAACTCGTACCTCCACCGCGCATGTCTTGCATCTCGTAGAGCTTGGGATTCACAACTTGGTTGGCTTCCTTGAGAACATCGATGAGATCTTTGGCTTGTCTGCAGTTGTCGGCGGTGAAGAAAGTGTAGGCTGTGCCTGTCTTATCAGATCGGCCTGTTCTTCCTATGCGGTGAACGTAATCTTCAGAGCAAGATGGGTAGTCGTAGTTGATGACGAACTTCACGTCGTCGACGTCTGTTCGTGACAAGTAAAAGTTAGACGTAGTCATACCAATGTCTCGTAACCATCAAATGCACCAGTCCCCACATTCCTTGCTAATTTCGAGGTCATCAGAAACTGAAAAGACAGGACTGAATAGGAACATAAGAGCGTGTGATTCTTGTAAAGAAAGTAAAGAAAATGAACAGAGAAGAAATATGACGATCAGAATACTGCCGAGCGTATGTTCTTGAAATATGTTTATATATTCATGAAATTGAGTAAAGTCAGTACAGGACTAGGAAGAAAATCAGATGCCTCGGAAAGAATACACGATAAATTTGGATAGTGGGAGGGTGTGAAGGATCAGAAACAAACAAATAGATGATACAAAGTAAGAATAAACAGTATTTGTAGGAGTATTTAGTTCCTGCTTTCTTTGCCGTCTCTGGGAAAATCAACAAGAAATATTTGACACTAATCCAATATATGGAAGTTTGATGAGAATCTAAAAAGGAAAAAAAATTAAAAACAAATTTAGAGGTACAGAATACAATGACAGATCTACACATGAAAGATTTCGAAGATTGCACCAATAATCTGGAAGAGTATTTTTGCATGGACCAAGCTTGGTGTAACTGTACAGCCTGATCGCATGAGGCGAACTAGTTTCATCGGCGATTTAATACCAATTGTATCACTAAATCCCAGTTTCTCTAAAACAAATTTACCATTATTTTTCACCGAGATAGATGTCTTACTTCGAGTTTTAACGCACGTTTTAAAAAGATTTGAAGAAGTTATTTATATGTCGCCAGTTCTCCGGCTAATTTTTAATTTTTCTTTCATGAAGGTATGAAACAAATTATCTATATCGCAACTTGGAATTCCGAGGACCAATTAATCGTATGTTTGCCTTAGAATCCGCATTTTAGACAACAAACATGATGCCCGTAAGCAAGTCCCACACACAAGCCTCGTATGCACTGCTTCCTGCCCCTATCGACGCTACCATTAGTCCACTCCTGCAGTGGGTAAGGGGATAATACTAACATCAGCAGAAATGAAGCAGACTGGCGTTAGTTTCTAAAATCTAACAAGTGGTAAGAAGACGGTCATTACACGGGTATAGGAAATAAATGTTCAGGAAATGAGCTTCTTTTCTATACATAAAGTAAGAAGATAATAGGTTTTTTGGAAAGGAAGAACCTTCGACGCACGCAGATTCGACCATAATAGAAGTGATAAATTAAAAAAAAAAAACTTGAAATACGAGAGCTTTTATTTTAGCTTCCCGTGTAAGAAGTCCATCAACAGCTTCACAAATACAGGATTCATCAGTTTGTCTGGCGTTCAATAAATCAAGTCACAAACACAGGATTCATCAGTTTGTCTAGCATTCAATCAATCAAGTCACAAACATAGGATTCATCAGTTTGTCTGGCGTTCAATCAATCAGTCACAAACGTCGAGCTGTTGTGGAGTAAGACGCACGCATACATACATAGTTACATACAAGTGGTGGCTGACATGCACACCCCAGATATTCTAGCGCGTGTCGGAGCTAGCAGAGCCAAACAAGTGTAAAACCATAGAAAATTATTTTTCGAAAGAGACAAGTTTGGCATGTGATAAGCCTACCTGTGTGTCAGGTTAGGTCTTGGGCAGAGGGCATTAGGCAGAGGGCAGCAAGCCCTCCTTCCCTCACACGCCAGCCCGCCAAGGACCAAAAGTCCTCGAGCAGAGCAGCCGCCGCCACCACCGCAGTTGGTGATGGTGCAGCAAACCAGCTTTTCAGAGCCAAGTTTCATTCTAAGATAAACTCTTCACACAGAGCAACAGGAACTGCTTCACAAGTGACCAGCTCAAAGGTTCGACTTCTTAGGAGTGACTCAGTTCCGAAAAAAGTCAAGTGAGTTAGATTTACACAATTTCAGTCTAATTGTCTCGCTAAGCTGCTGAATGGATGATCATTACAGCACTGCATTGATTAGTGCACAATGCGCAAGAGCTAGAAAAGTTCCTCGCGTTACTCAGTGTGAAGAGTTTATCTTATATAGCAGTGTTTTGTACGTGCTTGTCTCAGTTCAGGGCTGTAGGACACAACCCTGAGGCTCTGACAAGAATTGGTGTGTAAAGTAAGACGGCTCACAGGCGCTTCAGGAGCGCAGTTGGGAGTTGTGATAGCTCGCATAAGTCGAGGAGACGACCTCGAGGCGACAGGTCAGGAGTTGGCAGTTGCATAAAGGCTTGGGCTAGCGACTTCTAGTTCCCTTAGGAGTCGTTAACGACTCGCACAACAAGACTCCTAGCAACGGGCTGCTACTGCCATCGACGACAGTAGCAGCGTCAACAGCGCGACTTTCCATCCTTTGACGGTCGATATATCAAAGGAGCAGCAGAACGAGGAGAGGTGAGAGGCAGCAGCAGCAGCAGCAGCAGTAGCAGTGTTATTGTGATGAGAAATCACCACCACCACTGCTCTTCAGCAGCAGCAGCAGTAGTTGTATTACTGTGATGAAAAGCACCACCACCACCACCGCCGCCACCACCATCGACGGTGCTCAAGGCACCACCGCGGCTCTCACTCTCCTCTCTCTGCCCCGACGCACTCGCTAAAGGCAAGACGGCCTCGTAAGAGACACCACAGCTCACAATGAAGATCATGTCGTGCTAGGCACGATCACTCAACCATTGACTCGAGCTTATGGGCCTCTGCAACGGAATAAAAGTCCAATCAAGTTACTGATGGATCACACATGCGACGCTCCTCGTCTTGAAACTTCCACCTTCATTCATCTTGCAAAATTCAATACTATGTATTGACTATAGTGGTTAGATTGGTGTATGTAATTCATATTTAATCTTCTACACAGTATAAGAACCAATTAAACGAAAATGCATTTATCATTAAAGATGAATATACAGTAGCTATGATAACAATAGTCTAGTAGCAAGAATTAAATTTTCAAAGGGAAGAGATAATGCGCAACGATTAATAAATAATTGAAATAGCAAGGGCACATTAGTTCATCTTAAGCAGCAAAAGAGTACAGCGTTCTCCACAATTCACTGGAGTTATTTATAAAGTGACAGCAATTAATCAGAATCAACAACTTTTCCTCAGCAGTGGCAAGCAAATTACGTTTCAATATATCGTGTATGTATGCGATGTAGTTAAGTTATAAAGAAATGTCAACTCTCTCATCATTAAATATATATAAATTAGTAACTTATAGATGCAGCTCTCACCAAGGCCGCGAGCAGCAACGTCGGTGGCGACAAGGATGGGTGCTTTTCCAGACCGGAATTCTGCGGACAAAAAGTCTGTATTATAGAAGCGGTCGCGATTTTGTCACACATCGTAATCGACACTAAATGAAATATAAAACAATACGGAGCTGGCATTATAGGCTCAAAAAACCCAAGTAATGAATGGTGGAGGAGTTAAGAGAATTAATGTCGAAAAAAAGTTAGAAAGCAGGCCATACAAATTGAAGTCAAAGTTGATGGCAATTAATTGAGGCATTATTGGTATTGTCACGAGGTGAAAATTTATTTCCGTTTCTATAAGCTTTCAAATGTCAAAGCAAAATGTCAAAAAAAAAACGCATCTGATTCAGGAAGTGATATGATACAAACTTTTAAATTGAATAGATGTGACATAGCCTTTAAATTTGTGGTTTTGCACAAAATATTGTCATACACTCATGACTGTACCAAAAACTTTAGATATATATAAATAATGTTAAAACCCATTTTCCTACAAGAAACAAGATAGGATATTACTGTGCATTAAAACCCAAGTGAATTTTTACTTACCTTTTAAAACCCAGTCCCGCTCTTGTTGAGACTTGTCTCCGTGAATGCACATTGCAGGCCAACTGTAAAAAAGCCAGGAAAATAATAGGTAAATATAAGGTGACAATAACCACACATGAAAAATGGCATTAAGTTATTTGGGCGAACCAACTGACGAAGAAGAATTTATGTTTTATAATAAGAGTCGTTCAAAAGAGAAGTCGGATGGCATGAGCAATGCGTAGTTCACATTCAACTGCTACTTTATTCGTCACACAAAATACAAGACAACATTTTTTTCTTGAATATAATTGATCAAAATGAATGCATATCGATTGCACTGTGAAAAAAAAAAAAAAATTCAGTTGCAATAATATCAGCTTATTTCAAACGGCAAAATGAAAAAAATTTTGCATATTACTTTTCAATATTTCCATATAGATTTAAATGCTAAGAGTCACATATTTCCGTGGTCTAAGTTCAAATTTGTATACCGGTGCTGATTAATAACAAGAATGAACTCAAGTCTTAAGTGCTTCATCACTACCTGGTAGTGAAGCAGAGATCATTGATTCACTTCGTTGCCATGTAAAACGCAATATTCAAATTAAAAGCGGGATTAGGTTACACACACCGTCAACACGTCAAGATGAGATGACACTAACATTTGTAGCGAGTTTAGTGAATAAACTTTCATCTACTGACTATCCTTGTAACTTTACTGCAAATTGTTCACATACTAAAACTTTACAGCATCATATTACGCCTTGCACTGAATTGTATAGTGAAATGCTAAGGGCACAATTAGCATCCCAGCATTAAGATGTTATGTACTACAACCTACCCCGAGGAGCGAAGGGATTTGGTGACAAGTTCAACCTTGCGTTTAGTTTCAATGAAGATGATCGTCTTGCACGATTTCTCCTGTGCCATTTCGTTCAGAAGCTGATAGAGCCTGAAACATTGGTGTTGTGTAAGAAAAATCATGACACCACATCGCACCAATTGGTATAAATAAATCAAGTATAAACAAAAAAATCAAATTATTTATTTCAAGATTTAATACATTTATTGGTCAAGAAAATGACAATGTGCAATAATAGATACATAAAAATATGAACATGGCGAGCACATTACACATCATGGAACTCTACATACTTGTTATCCTTCTCTCCCTCCTGACACACGTCCACAATTTGCAGAATGTTGTGGTTGGCAGAAAGCTGCAGCGACCCGACGTTCAGCTGCACGTAATCTTTCAGGAAATCTTCAGCCAAGTTGCGTACTTCCCGAGGCCACGTGGCAGACCACATCAGAGTTTGTCTGTCCGGCTGGTGAATTCAACATATTCATGACCTCAATTCTCGAAATCGAGGCAATTGTAAAGTCTTGTAATAAAAATGATAATGAGGTCTCAAAAATAATAGGTTATGAAAACACAACCTTGTTCCTATGGAACAGGAAAATCACCCAAAAAGTTATTACGATAAACTGCTCTAATGAGACTTAAAGCAAAAAAAAAAAAATTCTGCAGAACTAGTTTAATCTCATAGCTCACTCTGATTTGATCAACAATTTTTCTGATCTGCGGCTCAAATCCCATGTCGAGCATGCGATCAGCCTCGTCCAGCACGAGGTATGTGCAGCGGCGTAGGTTTGTTTTCTCGCACTCCAGGAAATCAATGAGCCTTCCAGGTGTTGCGATGCAGATCTGCACAAATATCATTTGAGATTTTGTTATGGCATGAGAATGAATGCTGGTGAGTATCTACATCATGGCAATGATTTTAGTCAAAGTTGCAGAACTAATGTTAGAGCAGCCGCAACTGGAGTTTAATTGCAAGGTTGTTTTGAACAGGAACATTATTAGTATACCAAAAACCAAGTGAGAAGACAGATTCAAACAAATTCCACATCGAGAATGAAAGAAAAGAAATTAAACCCCAAAGCAATCCTGACACGCAACTTTTTTTTCAACTGAAACCCTTGTGGTGCTCACCTCACTGCCCCTTTCCAAATCTCTGATTTGTGGGCCTTTAGGAGCTCCACCAAAAACACAAGTCGAACGAATCTTAACAGAGGAGCCAAAATCTTGCGCGACTGTAAGGATTTGCTGGGCAAGCTCCCTGGTGGGTGCTAAAACCAAAACGATTGGTCCATCTCCTCTACTGAGGTAAGGTTGATTGTTGATGTGTATGATGGCAGGCATAATGTAGCCCAGGGTCTTGCCAGACCCAGTCTGAGCAATACCAACCATGTCACGCCCAGACAGTGCAATGGGCCAGCCTTGGGCCTGAATAGGAGTTGGATACTCGTAATTCTGGCGGCGAATTTCCGTTTCCACATAGTCAGGGAATGTGAAGTCAGAGAAATACTGAATTGGGTTTGGTATGTTATTCCCCCGAAGTGTGATGTCTTTATCATTCCTGAAACATTAAACAACAATGAGATACAGGAAACCATCATCTAATGATTCAAATCATTTAAATATTTTTATCCTAAAGTAGGTACCCTAGCAGAAATAAAATATTTTAACCCCGCATTATTATGTCAGGCTTAGACTTCTTGTTTGAAGGGCAAAATTGAAATGAAGGGCAAATGAAGGGCAAAATTGAAATGAAGGGTGTTTTAAATGAAGGGCAATTGCCTGGCAAACACCATGCAATTAAGGTAAAAAAAATCATGAAAATGGCAATACAAATGATCCACTATAACAACTAACATGCAAATTTCTTCAATCTCACCTGTACTTTTCAACTTCATGTTTAGGACGATTTACAACGGCGTCAGAGGGACGGTAAAAATTCTTCTCAAAAGGTGTCAATTTGGAGAGGTCCCAGCGTGGCTTTCGCAGGTTGCCCCCAGGCTGTTTGCCCTTAAGGGATGACCTCCCCCCAAATCCACCCCCTCCACCATAGCTACTTGACCCCCGACCCCAGTCGTCCCGTCGACCGCGGTCCCGGTCATAAGAACGTGAGCGTGAACGAGATCTGGAAATATATGTAAATTAGAAAATATGGGAAAAACAAAAATTATGTTAAAAATAAAAAAGAAAAATATTTAGGATGTAAATGCTGGTGTACAATGGTCACAATGTTTATAGAAGTAATATAATAATATGTTTAATTTTCAAAAATGTGCAACATTTACAGTTTCAGCAGAGCAAATTTGCCATTCTATAAAAAAAATGGCTGAAAATGAAATCCCTCAGCCCAATATTGCATGAGCAGATAGTATGATTTACGACAGGGCAGCAGAATTGGTATCAAACAAAAGTTAGGCCTTTTCAGCTTACCTCTGTTCATCAGACAGCCAAATTTATTAACTCATCTTTGTAAATAAATCAGGGTTGGCAATGATTAAATCAAAATGATTAAATCATGTGATTAAATCACTTGATTTTTTTATAAAATAATATACGTTTAAAAATTCAAAAAGACAAAAAAGTTGAAAAAATCAAAAAAATCAAATAAATCAAAAAAATCATGAAAAAATAAAAAAAATCATTGATTTTTGATTTTTTTTGATTTTATTAAAAAAATCAAAAAAATAGCCAACCCTGAAATAAATGAAGGAATCTCAATTATAACCACATCTTGGTCAGTGAATAGTTCTTTTTATGTTTTGCTCAGCTGCAATTAGCAAATGCTGCCACTATGTAGAAATGAGTTCTAGAATTCTTCAGAATTCTAGAAATGGTGGTTCATATATATTACTTATGATCCATAAAGGCCAGTGTTATGAACAAAAAATTCAAGGCTAAAAAATTGAAATGTTAAAAAATTTGAGAAAAAATCATACTCATGCCTTCAATGCCATATGCCATAAATCACTTGAAATTTCAAACAGATGCATAAAAAATTAAATTAGACTGATAAAATTGCTGGACAGGCAACATGTTTAAATTTGTATATCTTCAGTCCCCTGGCAGATAGCAGGGAGAAAAGCAGTATGCAGCTCTGCAAAGGTAAGCTCTGTCATTGGGTCATGTAATAATGGAGACCATATTTGGTGCACCTCAGTTATGGTTGAAATTAGTCATTATTTCTGGCAATGTTTACCAGGTGAAGACACGCATGCTATGGCTCACATTAGTGAGCAATGTGCGCAAGTAATCTCTTAGCTTTGAGTCATAATTGCTTTGCTGTAATTGCTTATGTTTTCCGTGAATGATGTATATTATGCATAGGAATGACAATGGAAAGAGTTGGACGACCAGTCCAGGTGTTCATCATCCCGATCAAATTGTGGGCATTTACATTGTTTGTTCAGTCATATTTACCTCGTATAGATTATTCATCATATATATTGTCGTGTGCTTCTGTTCATTTGAATCTTTTTCAGAATTAACACTGCTTACAATAATATGTTTTTCTGTAAATTGTACAGTTGATTGTTCTCATTTTCAACTATATTCTTTTTCTTTCACATTAGCATCATGGATATAAATTTTTATGGGATGGAGGTCAATGAAATTTCAGATACAGATGCTGAGATTCATTCTAGAAATAAAAGCTGCAGTGATGAATCAGAACAAGAGTTTGTCACAACTGGTTCCAGTTCTAACAGCTGTACTGAAGAACTTCCAGAAAATCTTAGCAGAACCTCCATCTGAGAATGAAGATAAAGCACTGCAGGAAAAAAAACAATGGAAAAAGTGTGGCTGATCCATGGATTGCTTTTAGTGCTACATCATGACAACATCTTTTCACAGGCAAAAAAAAAAATGTAGAGGAAAACTGGTCCAGAAGACACAGTAATGCCATTTGATACTAATAATCTTTTTGTAAGGAGAGAAATTATTTTCGAAATAGTAACTAAAACAAGTATGCTGATCAAGTTTTTTAGAACACAAAAATAACAAGATTGCAACTGAAATGCTGGAGACATTTTAGGAGCTGATAATTAGTATGGAATTAGTACAATAATCAAGGCTGGAACTCTACTGGTCTTAAGATATTTATATCTAGGGTAAACACACCATATTCCAACACCTTAAGGATGTAGCAAGAAATAAATGGCTATAAATAGATCACCGTATGTGCAACTCGAGTTCCGACTGATTTACGTCACTCTCAAAACACCACACTACGCGCCAGCAATGATGAAACATCACAAACTGTTGCCATATTTATTTAAAAGCCTTTAGAATTGAAATCAACAAAATCGCTGAATTCCGACACTGTGTGTGACTAAATGCGGCATATTGTGAGACTAATTCCAACAGCGCTTCAAAATCGTAATTCCTAATTCCAACACCCTTGCATTGGAATTCCGACACCCTGTGCAAGCTGTGTCGGAATATGACACCCTGTGTCACGGCTGTGTGTCGTAATTCTGAGTAATTTCTGACACATGTCAGAATTAGTTTTAATGTGTCTAAAACTGTTTCTTAAATTAACATCTATTGATTTATTTACCACTCATAATCAGCATATTCAAGTAAACTTAAAGGATTCCTAATTTATTCACATACTTATTTAAAAGTCTCATACCATAATATTCTTTCTACACCAACAGTTTATCACTATTTGGTAGAGCAAGGTCAACTATCAACTTTGGCATGTTTTGATGTTCTCATCGGGTGACGTGGACTTTTGCTCCGAGGATCTAAAAATTTTCCCGCCAGACCTAGTGTTTTGCAGAAATATTGCGTGCAATAGTACGACGTCACTATTTCAACCATCTACACATGGGTGGAACTAAGACAAAGCTTAATATAAAGGAAAAAGTTGAGATGTGTCAGAATTACCCACAGCGTCGGAATATGGTGCGTTTACCCTATCCATTTATCTGCAATAACCTGTCAAGAGATAGCTATTNGCTCATGTGGGACACTGTCAAATGCCTTGGCAAAATCGAGGTACATTGCATCTACTGGCTCCCTTTTGTCCAGCAGGCGGGTCCATTCGTTCAGTCGACAAGAGGTTAGTGGTGCAGGATCTCCCAGCAATAAAGCCATGTTGACAGTCTGATAGGAGATTATTGGCAGTCAAATGATCTATCAATCAGTCCCTCACAACAGATTCCATTAGTTTCAAAGCAAACAACACTTTTCAAACTGACAGGGTGATAGTTGCCCGGGCAGCTTTTGTTGCCTTTCTTGAACAATGGTGTCACTTTAGCTTCTTTCCAGTCAGCCGGCAAAATTCCTTCGTTCAAAGTTTTTCGAAGAAGTGACATCAGAGGACCGGCTAGGACCTGTCTCTTATACACATCTAGATGTGTATAAGAGACAGGCATTGACGTTACCCTCTAGCCCTAGGTACCCTACCTTGCTACCTAATTTAATAAAGGAAAAAATTCGTAGCTTTTTCACTTTTACTTGTAATCCACTAATATTTCTATGATAATTTTCCAAGAAAAATTCTCTTTTCAGCCATATAATTTTCATTGATATCAGAGGAAAAATTTTATTGTGCACACTGCACAGTGCACATACCTAGGCTAAATTGGTATCATCACAGTAGGTAGGTCTTGGATGGACGTAATGGCGGAACCTCAGCAGCATCAACCTGAAAAATTATTAAATCGACAATACATAGCACCACATGCAGTCTCTTATATTATTCTTACCTCCTACTTCTATAGGTCATAATGAAGATCTTTGAAGAATATTTCCTATTGATGTTCACCAGTAAGTAACTTTTATAATGCGAATTTCTATAGTTTTAATGGCAGGGTAGCGTCCTTTTTGGCCGAACAAGCACACAATACCGCGCATGCGCAGCTTAGGAGTTAGGATCAGGGTGAAGAAAATGTGAATGAGTTACGAGGTCAAATCAGTCATTCTCAAAGCTCACCGAAATAAGTATTATGAAATTCCATTGAACACCCTTTCATTTATTTTGTAACTGAGGTAACAAATATTGTAGTACTTTTAATTCCTGACAGGCAATGAGTTCAAAAATTGCAGGTAAGTATTTGTTATTGTTCTTTGTGTCCGCTGGCGAGTTCGGTGGTGTTCGTAGAAGTGTCGATTCGGTACTTATGTACCGGCCAGCCTATGATCTTCGTCGTTATAATAGTTGAGAAATAAAATCATACAAAAAGACCTTAGACTAATCATAACTATATAAATGTATTATTCACGCAATAATGTGCAGAAGTAAAATTTTGTCACGACACACAGCAAAAGTAGAATATAATAATAGAATTGAGAGACGTGACAAATTATGTTTCCGAACCAATAAAGAAATCATATTGGCATCAAGTCCTATAAATGACATAACGTCTTCGTAAATGATGCAAATTCTTCGTGAATGTCATAAACATGAAAATCATTCGATTACAATTATTTTCATTTTTTTCCGGATAGATAAAAACCTTATAGATGCATTTCTATCATGGTTGAATTGATACATATTAATTCAACCATGCATTTCTATTATTCTAGTCCGACGATGTCAATAGCATACGTTATATAAGCACGTCCCGGACAAATTTACGGCCGGAATCGCGGCCGGTCTCCGAATACAACAAAGGATTTCTCCCAAAGTAATATACGCATGGAGACCGGCCTCAGGCCGACCGCAAATTTGTCAGAGACGTTAAATACGCATATCTCGTAGTAAAAGTAGGGAGAACGTAGAAATATCCTTCCCCATATGTTTAATAGAATTTTAATCCTTACAATCACATATTATATAATTATTTAATTTGCTCAATCACTACATCCCTGGTACAGTCTCTTGTCAATCCATCATGTCAATACATCAATGAAATTCAGGCCGATTTATTTACCAAGGCATGTTGATTAAATATGCCATCTAGATAAGTAATATCCACCGTCACTTATTTCGTATATATCCGACGCTGTGTTATTTAAACAAAAATATATATCTCAGTACTCACTGCAGTGAGTGACAGTGAGTGGATTTTCTCGTGGGCGAAAACGTGGTCACGGACAGACGGACGGACGGACAGACAGACAGATGTACATGACGAGCTCAATGGCGCCTTTTGTCCATAAATGAGAAAATGCGCTAAAAAGCCTCGGCCGGAAACAATATTCTTCGCCTTACCGCCAGACACAAACAAAATATATTTCCATTCCTTAAGTAGATTTTTTGTTCAGCTTCGGAAATAAATACTATAACGTTATAATTGTTCTGCTCATTTGCGATTGGCATTTCCAGCCATTTCCTATCATTGATCAAAATTGTTAAAGAAACTATTAGATCAAAGCAAGATAATTATTACGCTCCAGAATTTGTGGTTGTGAGGTCGATGAAATGAAACGTTGTTCATGAGCCCTTTTTCTTGAAATATAACACCAAAAGGAGCATAGCAGTACAGTATCCTATAGATTTCAAACGAATAAGAACATAATTTTTACTTAGACTGAATAAGTGGTCAAGCTACATTACTCGGGTCGTTAATCAAACTAATTTTAATTTATCTTGTTAACACAATCAAGTTAACAACACGATCTATAACTATGCAACATCTCAAATATGTTCTTAATGGGTTTAAAAGATTTAAGATTAAAAACCGGGACGTGCAGCAAAATCAAGCGTTCGCCTGAAACGTGAAATTAAAATTCTATTTAAATACGTATTGACATAATAACTATTTGATGGCTACGATAGAGGCACATGCAAAGCAATGGCCCAGTCCCACCAATAGCGGTGCATCATGTGCACCAGCACCAATTTCTCTAAAGTGTGGATTAAATAACGCTTTCTTCACTTCTCTATAACGACAAAATTTCCGTCTTGTGTAAACTTTTTCGTTATTTTTTACAGAAAACCGCCGTCGCTGTTGACGCCTCACATGCTGTCCTAATCATCAGTGTTTTCTGTGCCAACATAAAGAGGAAGAACTGAGGGCATCTCCAAAAATAGTTGATGGTGTTTAATTCTCATATTCTCGACTGCATTCAACTTGTTATTCTTTGATATAAAGAGCAATGCTCCCATTGAAATCATAATGTTCAACAACTTCATTTTTAATGAATTGAATGCCTTGGTTTGAAGTCACGTTGATATCTTTGTTCTTCGACGAAACTGCCTCTGTAGCGATCAGGTTTTCCTTCTTGACTGTGCTGTCTGAGTCGTAGTTTTGCTCTCGCATTTCGCCACATGCGTCGGGATCCTGAGTTACAGTCGACATCATAGCCTCGGTCATGGAACCTTCAACGGGAACCAATGGATAGTAATAGAACTTTTGATTATATCGTGGACCTCTCTTCACTTTCTCCACACCTGCTTGCTTCAGCAGCTTACCAAAGAGAATTTTGCTGCAACAGTCGCTAGGGTAGCCGTTCACTTCGAGGAATGCGTTGAATGAATCCCACACATTGATGATAGACACTTTGTACGTCGTCTCTGGATTATTCTTCTCTTCTTCAACCACCTGCCATTGTTGGGTAAGGAACTCCAGCATGAAAGAGTACTTTCCTAAGCTCACCCTGTGCAGGTTACGAACATTTTCAGCATTTGGCGACATCGCTGATCATCTGATGGAAATTGTAAATTTAAGTAATTATTTATGAGGCATTATTTAAATTTTAGTAAATAAATACCACTACCCTGCAACACATAAAATTGAAAGACAATATAGATTTGAGTATATAAATAGCACTACCCTCACCCTGCAACGCATAAAATTGAAAGACAATATAGATCATTCGGATTATTTCGGAATAATACAGCTCCAATTGAAAAAAAAAAATAGACTAAGAAATGGCATAGAACTAAAAGTGTCGACGACGAAAATGACAGTGAACTTTGTGACACCCCGAAAACATGAATATTAATTAGGAATAAAAATGCAGACGAGGTAGGTTAGTCCCTATCTAGCCAGTCAAATAGCAGGGTATAGATAGTTTAGTTAATAAGTGCTTCAACCCTTCATACAATATTAGACTAACAACCAAACTTTCGTTAATTTAGAATCGGTTATAGAATTAGAATTTATTTCTCACGTTACCTGCTTATTAAAACCTTGAGGGGAAATTATAACAATCAAACGACAATATTGAAATTAATTGAATCGAATTTTCACGTACCAATTTAAAGGTTTCCACACGTCACCATCCGAAGTCAAGACGAGCACTCGATCAACCGTACGCTCAACTGCCCAAGGGACATTTCAGTAAGGGGAAACATTTTCTCCAATAATAGTTTTCAGTTTCGGCAAGAAAAGCGTGTCGGTATTTAGGTTAAATTGGATTTCTGCACGTAACATATAAACTTAATGAAAAAAGTAATGAAAGTTTATTTATGATGAAACGTAATTTTGATGAACCTAATTCATAGAAGCTGCTGTAATTGTTTATGTTTTAGTAATATATATAAATTATAACACGGAAATATATATGAATGATTCAACGTAAATGAAATCACCCAATTCATCAACTTTAAAACGATAGACTCAGTTCAATGAAGTAACATGAACGCTGACTCAAGGTTATTTTCCGCTAATAAATCATTCCAATGACCTTTTACTTACTTCGCTATTCGCACAAAACATAACTAATTTAGTAATTATGTCTAACATTCGACGACCCCAAACGATTTCGCGGTCAATATTCCGGTTGATTTCTGAGGAAAGGGTTGTATATCTAGCTACGTAACAGATGGAATTTGGTGTTGGGTCATGTCACAATTTTTTTAAAGAAGCTAATTCATTAGTACGAAATCGATCGAAGAATTAAGCGGCAGGAGTACAAATGAATTGTTATAGTTGTTACTGCAACATGGCCGTTTCGATACGTACGAGTATAATTGCAATCCACATGCCGAACAATTCTCTTTTCTATGTAGTCGTACATAGAGAATTGAAAAAAAAACTTCCAACCATCTCGACTTAAGAAATCTGAGTTATATAACCAAATAATGAAGTACTTCTTCACAAATGAGGATTGTCGACATCCCATGCTTGACCTGATTTGAGTGCGCTGCACGTTCGATGTACCCACGATCCATATCGTGCTGCACAGTTGTATAAAATATGGCATGAGCAATTTATAGGATAATGCATGTGCCAAGTAATTCATATTCAACAGCGTGAAAAGATGCGCAATATTTCACCCACTTCACGAAAAAATAATCTCTTAAAGCAATAGGCTGACTTCTACGGTACACACCCAGACGAATTTTGTTGGCCACCTAAGCATTTTACAAAACTTCTCTTTAACTTCACTTCTTGTTTGTCTGTTTACCTGTCTGTCTGCTACAAATCTTGTAATCGAAATTTAATACACTTCTACTTATCGATTTCTACACTTCTACTTATATCGATCTGAAATTTTGCACACTTGCGTAAAGTTGGAGACAACGCATGAATCATATGACAAAATAAATAATTTTAGGAATAAAAATTTTTTACAATATTAAAAAATTGAAAAAATAATTTTGTCAGCTACAAATCTTATAATTGATATTTGACGCACTTATACCTGTCCAAATGATCTGAAATTTTGCACACTTTTGTGAAGTCGGAGGCAATGCATGGAATCAATTGACAGAATAAAAAATTTTGAAAAAATTTATATATTAAAAAATTGAAAAATTAATTTTTTTATTATTAGAACTAAAACGAGAAATTCATTGTACATCTTTAACATTGGAGACATTGGATTCTTTACAAGTGTTGTCTTTAAAAAGTAATTTTTAAGCGTATATTATGTATTTTCAGTGTACGACGTTTTGGGAATTGTAATCATTTTGCGTAGAAATAAGCAAGTGAATTACACTGATTTTTCTTAACGGTCAATAATGAGGCAGATAATAAAATTAGTAACTTTTTGATATGTGTATACGTTTATTTAGTAATTGTGTAATGTTTTACGTGTATGTCGAGTATTGGTAGGCTTATTTTTTATTATTATATATTTTTCGCGATTCAGTCAGATGTGATCTAATAAGCGCCCAAGAAACAAACTTCGATTGCGTTGAATCCATGTATTCGAGGATTCAACGCAATCGCCTTCAATCCAATAGAGGCTTCAATCCAAGTTCATTGAAGCACGCACAAAACACTAGGATTCTTACAAATGATAGCGAAAGGCTTTTGAGCAGAATACCTCTTTCAAATATTAGAGCCTTGGTTAGAGTTTAATATCGGCGGGAAGGATCCCTTTCAGATTTCGGTGCGGGACCATGACTGTTTATCGCTGAACCAATGCAGTCGAGAGGAGTAAGTTCACCATTGCAGCAGACCTTCAGGAAAACAGAGTGTATTGATACGTTTTTTTTACAATCCATATATATGACATTGTTTTTTCATTATATATCAAACAACAGCATTGTACACCCGCGTGCCCAACTGAGGGTAGATGCAGCTTTAGTTCCAGTGTTGTTTCAGTTTCTAGGTATGAAGGCAGGAACAATATCGTAATGGGCGAATTCAGTCCTTTTAGAAACATTATCACTAATCTTCTGACGTCCTACTTTTAATTTTCTGAATATTCGCCACATGAATATGAGAAAAATTGTCCCTTTTTATCTAAGATAATTTCCAATTAAGCCTGAATCAATTAAATTATGGGTAAATTTAACTTCAAAAAGAAACGAAAGGGCAGTGTTCAACAAATATTTGCACTAACTTAAAGAGCGAGCGAAAAACGGCTCAAGTTATTGAAGATTATTGGAAATTTTATAGTGACTGCATGCAAGCAGCGGACTGCAATATCAAGTTTTTAGAGACCACTTTGCGCGCGTAAAAATTCACAGCAGAGCGACTGATGCGGCCGCATCTGCATATGGAAATAAGTCCAAAAAATTTATCTCAAAGGTTTTGTTGCGGTTGAAAATGATATCTTAGAGTTCAAAGCAGTCTTTATTCGGTCAAAATAGTCTTTGCATGGACGTTTCGAACAATTTTACGGCCAAACGTTTGGCACAAGAATAAATCCTTATATAGCATTAGCAATTTATATGCAATTACATTAATTACAAAAATGATCATAAAAGTGATTGACGATGAATAATTTCGATTTTGAAACGTGTCAAACATTTTATGTATATGTCTACCCACACAAATTTTCGGACTGCAACATTTAACTTTTTTTTCATTCACATCGGGTAACAAATTTTGTCCGAAGATCATTCAGATAATTTCTTATGATATTTATGATTTTTACCTGTTTAATTTGTTATTTTTGTGAATTTATTATAAATTCATCTATCAATGATATTGCAAATGTTCCGTGTTTAGGCTAGATAGAGCCGCTATAAAGTTCTGGGAGAACCATTAGTTAGTCTTTGGCTGCTCTTTCGGAAGAATTTTGGTGTGAGGTGTGTGATTATAGTGTTTTTTAGTGTTTAATTTTTTGATAAATTCTTTCATAGAGTACTCATTTTTTATTTTGGTTATTCAATTAAGCCAGCTTTATTAATGGTCTCAAATAATTGTTGTCATGTCTTACAGCTTTCTTCAACGCTGCCTTATTATTATCGTATTATGTCTTAGGAAAAGTGATGTGCATCTATCTAGAATATTGGGCAAAATTTCCAATCTAGAATATTGGGCAAAATTTCTAGAAACCATGGCTAAGAACTAGGTATATATTTTCAAAAATATTTTTTTAGAATTGCTGGTAAAAATGGATCTTTTTCTTCATTTTCTGTGGATGAAAATGGGCAAGCACTATGAAAATAGGTGCAATCGATTGCAATAACAGAATTCACAGACATATTTCGTCCTATTTTTGGATGGCTTCTGCCCAATTTTCTAGAATTGGGTATTATTGCAGATTAACTACATCCAAAAAAAGGGTGTTTTTTTTGTTAATTATATGTTTTTTGGGGTGTAGATTACGAATCTGAAATCCATTTTTGGCGGTCGGCATCGGAAAACCGATTTTTTTCCGACCCATAAAAAACGAAAAGTGGTCTAAGTTACCCCGCCGGTCTAAGTTACCCCATTTTACAGTACGTCTGTGAATATATTAGGAATCCTTTAAGTAGGTATTCTTGTATTTGCTGATTTCAAGTGGTACCTAAATAAATTAATAGATGATTAAGTTGAGAAACCCATTTAGACACATAAAAACTAATTCCGACACAACTTGAATTGGACACACACAGCTCGTTCCAAGCTGTGTGCAAAAATTAAAATTTTCTTAATTAAAAGTTTAATAGCTAACTGTTGATTAAAAGCCTAATTAAGTTGTGCTCAATATTCAATATTGTTCTAATTCAAAGCTGTATTGTATTCCAATACAGCTCACACAGCGATCAGGATTCGAACACCGTCGGAACACGTGGATGTCGGAATTATGTATTATGTTGAAATTATCTTAATTATGTATTATGTCGGAATTATGTATGTCGAATTTAGTCACACACAGTGTCGGAATATACTCAATATAGGGATTTGGTAGGTTTGCATTCTAAAGGCTTTTAAATAAATATGGCAACATTTTGTGACATTTCATCATTCCTGGCTTTTTGTACGGTGTTTTGAGAGTCATGAGAGTCGCGTAAAGCAAACAGAACTTGAGTAACGCATACGGTTATTTTTTTATAGTTTTTCATTTCTCGATGCGTCCTTAATGTGTCGGAATATACCGCATTTACCCTATTAAGTCACCTGTGGAATGATGATTTTTGATGCGCTTTTTTTTATTTCTGCCAAAGATTTCATATCAGCCTCCTCTAATCACGGTCCCTGTGTCCAATGAGGCTACAAGTTGCCATTTTGCAGCACAAGTGCACAACTCAACTTACTTACTATTCAAATAGCCAGCCTATTATCTAGTTGATGGGCGGGGGCCCAAAATTAATTAACTTATTGTTCTTTGAGTAATTATGAAGAATCATCTTACCAAATTAACTTAATTTTCTTTGAGTAATTGTTATTTGTAAGCAGTAAGCAATCATAGTACTACAAAATTAACTTACTTTTTTATGAGTAATTGTTAAGAATTATCTTGTGGTAGTTTGTCTCTTATTTAAATGGGCCTATCTTCAAAATATAAGGGGATGTTTCCTTCATAGGCTACCTGAGTCTAACATCCTGAGCATTTGATTGCCTCTTAAGTGTAGAAAATGCTTATTCCTTTATACTATTATAGGGTAAAATTAAAAAAGTATTACCTATCTAATATCTAATACACTTGGATGGTTGGATCAACAAATAAGTTTAGGCTAGGCTATTCTCATAAATGGTTCACATCTCAAAAGTGAGTTTAGGGCCCCCAAAATGAGCCTAGGCTATAAATGATGCTACCCACAAAGAAACTTATTTTGGTTTAAATTGGTTATTAAAAACTCGGTGGTAGCGGTAGGGTTATTAAAGGTACTGGATCAATTAACTTGCTACGTTGTGATTCAGGATTATGTAATATCAAATAATGCCAGACATTTCCTCTTGATATACCTATCATGATCATTAGGTCATTTCACTTTTGACCCATTTAACCCAACTTAAACTGCATTTTTAAAAAGTACCCTACATTACTATACAATAACTTAAATTTATTTTCTAGATAATATGTATATTTTAAAATTGTAGGGACTGTCTGATCTCAAGCAAGTAAAAGTTTACAGTTTGATGAATTAATCAATCTTTAGATATTTGCTATTAATACTTTTTTCATAAAATGAATAATTTTGAAACTGACAGTAAATTGGCACCTTGTAAGCTTCATGGATGCATTGAATATGGGAATTTCAAGTATGCATTGAATTGCCTGATTGTTAACTATGCATATCAAAATTTATTTTACAAATTTTGTTTTCAGAAACACAATGAAGCTGAACAAGAACAAGACATCTTCAAGCCGGAAGATGCGCAAGCGTCACTTCCAGGCTAACAAACATGAAATCAGACAGATGATGTCCTCGCCTCTTTCTAAGGACCTCAGAACCAAATACAATGTTCGCTCCATGCCCATCCACAGAGAAGATGAAGTCCAGGTTTGTTAACTTATTTGTTCCCACAATTTACTTTCCTTAAATTTTAACTCTAAATTGCTGTCTTTGATATGCATGGTGAGAAGAATGTACTTTTTTTAGCAAATTATTCTTCCATTATTGGAGATATTGGTGCTGTTAGTTGATTATGGGTATGCATACTGTCATAATACAAAAGCGATACTTTGTAATGAATATTTGATAGAAAATGTCCAGAATTCCTACTCTATAAAATGTCCGAGAAAAAAAATTCATGCTGATTAGGTTCCTGTAAACGTTTTTAGATTCAGCCAATGTTCAATTGCTTGCTTTTCAGGTGATGAGAGGACACTACAAAGGCCAGCAGGTTGGCAAGGTCATCACAGTTTACCGCAAGAAGGGCATCATTTATATAGAGAGGATTCAGCGCGAGAAGGCCAATGGCGCCACCGTCCATATTGGCATTCATCCCTCAAATGTAAGTTCAGTCCTAACTAAGCAATGTATTAATGTTAACAATCTTTTTAATACACATGTCTAAAGTAACTCGAGTAGTGGCTTCCATGCTGCAGCAATCATTCATGTAGTTTTATGCGTAATTGTGTTGCATTGCAATCAGACATATTTTATCATGCCACTCTTATTAAAGGAAAATGTAACCACCCCTTTTGTACGTGCTAAATAATTTATGCTATTTTGGTCTCACAATCTCGTCATTCTCGTAATCTCGATTATAAAGATAATTTTACGTATTATAATTGAACAATGACACCCACTAAACCCACATTTTACGTAGAAGATAAAATCTCAATTCACTCTCCTTTGGAAAAGTTGAAGAAATTTCAACTTTTGAATTCAATTTATAATTGATAATTGCATTATTAATCTCGAATAACTTTTCTTCAATACTCCTTTTAAAATTAAAATTTCAGGTGCTTTTAATTAGAATTCTATCACGATAAAGACTGCAATTAATATAAACCATATCATGCAGGTATGTATCGTGAAGCTGAAGATGACCGACAGCCGCAAGAAGTTGCTAGAATTGAAGGCAGCTGGCCGCGCCGCTGCTCAGGGCAAGGATAAGGACAAGTTCAGTGCCGTGGACACCGCTTCTGCAGCCCCCGCCACTTCGTCCTAAATACACTCCCTCTTGGCGATGATTTTTTTGTATCATTCTGCCTGTTCGCCCCCCGACATGAATAGCTGCACTTAACGTGGAGTTGAATTCCTCGTTCCAATGTTGGTATTTGGCAGTCAACGTCCTATATTTCACTCGACGTCGCTCCGATGAGTTCCCGTTCATGATAATCACTGTCGAGATGCCAGAATCTCCAGATACATATCCTCGTACATCCCTGAGGCTACTCGTTCTTAGTGCGTTAAACGCCATCGATGTCTAGAGCTTCCACAACTGCCCCCACCAAATATAAGTGAAGATTGAAGAATGAATTGGTAGCAAAGCACACAAGAAAACCCGAAGTCCGTTAACATCAAACTCTGGTTAACAAAATTATGCATTGGTAGTGGAAACGAGGGGGCGATGTTTGAACTGACTGACTATACATGCGCAGTTATTAGCTTTTCCTGACATCTGCGTTCACTCACTCGAGGAGATAGGGATAATAAGGCAAGAGAATAAAAACTTCAGCGTATATTAAAGACGAAACGGATTCCTTCAGCTAATTAATCCCGAAGCGGAGTTCAAAGTAATCTGGAAAAAAAAGAAGGAAGGATATGAATCACTTGCTGCAATGGTTCGTCGAACAAAATGAATCTTTTACGTTTAGTACTTATTACATTGAAATAATGGATGAAACTCGGAGTTACCAGGTACATGAACAATTGTATCATTCAGGCGAAAAAAATCAATCAATACCCACTATATACTCGTTAGAACTCAATGGAAAAATAATTATTTGGAGAGATGAAATTTTAGCTCCATTTTAAATGAATAAGAAAGCTGCATAAAGAAACTTAATTTCTTCAGCGACGTTAAGCACGACTACAAAATGCCCAAAAACGTTGAGGAGCCACTAGGACAACTCCAAGCATTAATCCCGCAAGGAATGAAGAGAGCTCGATCAATCTGTGCCAAAATTACGCGCGTCCGTAGGTGTTTATATAATTGAATTAAAATCACTTCGGTATTCCGTCAATGCGAAACTCGTTTAAAATAACAATATCCATCGCGTTTTCACATGTGCTTTCAGTCCAGTGAGCGTGCTACCCCTCGCTTAAATATATAGGGTTAAATTCCGCCCCAGCTATAGCGAAAGGAAATGAAAATGCACAATGCGTTGTCAACCTCGGCGACTTCCGAGACAAATAATAACGAACCTTTCTTTAGCCCCAGTACCGTGAGCTTGTATTGCTCTCGTTATTTGAATGTTTCCCTGCTATTCTATTTGGTTAACTGTTCATTTTTAATGTGTTTAATGGAGCATTCATTTCATCCATTATCTCAGGCCTTTGTTGGAATATTAGTAATATTTTCGTTCGCGACTTTCGTGAAGCTTAGAGCATCTATATTCTCAAGATAACTAGAGATCGTTGACTTGCGCATGCTGTACCAAATAGCGAGATTGGAGTGCCTAATCATACATGGCAACCTTCTTTCTCAAGTTTAATTGTACCTAGTAATCACTTTTTTATCTTTGTCTACACTATTACTGTCGGCTTTCTTTGGATCCAAGTCTAGAGATTGGAATGAGTGTAATTGGCGAAAAGCTAAGCAGCAAACTTCCTTTCAATCACAGACTGATCCCAACTAATATGCAATACGTATGCTTGAGCCTAGATAATGGGTGTTTAACTTGAAAATTTTGGGTGTATTTTAAGGCACAAATATCCTAGTCAAACGCTGATTTGGTCGAGAATTTAAACAGTCTGTAATGCTCTAATGTAGAGGTGCCCCAGTACAGAGATGACACAAATGGCCACCTAACCCCAGGAGACTCACTTGGTGAGATGAGCCAGATCCCAGTTGGTGTCCTTCTTAAGATCAAGATCATCATCGATGGTCACGCCCTCCTTGGTGACGGTGGCGACCATGTAGCGGTGGAACCCACGACAGTCACGGTAGTAAAGCACCTTCATCGCCTCCTCGATGACCTGCCAGAGATACGGGACCTACATATAACTACAAGTCCGGGAGCTGCCTTCAATACCTAAGAGTCCTGGGACCATACTTTCAAAACTCTCGTCTCATCTGTGACTGGTAAATTTAAATTCATCAACAACTCTTAACTAATTTTGATAGTACGGTCTTCTGGGCGATGTCACCTACCATGCCATGTCGATTGAGTGAAAATAGGGACAAACTACAGTTTTATCTATTTGAAAAAAAAAAACAAGACAAATTAAGCAGTTATGTGGATAGTAATGTTGAGGAGGCCCACCTTTCTTGCTTCAGCCTGAGTGAAAATGCCATCAGATTTTTTCTCCCTGGCACTCCTTAGCATCGGGATGGCGAAGTACTGACCAAAGCCTGAAGCAACTTCTGTTGCTTCATAAGCCGTGCCGATCTTGTCCACAAACCCGAGGAACCTGACACAAATAAGTTATGGAAAATGTTACAGAAGATTAATGAATGCATAGAATCCTGAAAAATTGTGGCACAATCTTGAAATAAAAATTGACCAGTGAGGTTTACATAAAAAATATTTTGAAAAAGGACAATATTACATTCAACAGTTCTTCGACATTTACATCAAAATTTATTGAGCCAAGCTAGTAAAAAGTTTATTACTTGTCAATTAATTACTGATTAAGAAATAATTAATCGTAGCAAGTTAGTATTGAAAGTGAACTTGCTGTTAATTTTCACTTTTTTTAGCATAGTTGAATTGGGACATCTGAAGCCACCACAATGCAATTATCTGCATGTTATATTACAAAATAATAATTCAAGCAACAGACTATTTTTTGAACTTTTGCAAATTATATCACATACTTCTTCGTTATTATATTATTTACAATCATTTATTTGATACATGGATTCCAGCTTGAAATAGTATAGTGCAAATCTTTTAATGTTTTTCATAAAATTATTATTATACAGACATCAATTGTAGATAAAAACTATATAATTACTTACGGTTTTCCAGCCCTGAAGCCAGCAACCACACAGTCCAGCCACAGTGGGTTGAAGCGAGAGCGTCGGTTGTAGAGGACTCGGGTGAGCCAGCTGTGCAGGGCACCTGCGTCCAGCTGCTTGCTGTAGCCTCCACACTCATCATCACGGCTGCTCAATTGTGCATATCAGGGTCAAAATAACACGAGAGTTTGATGATATGACTTATGATGCATTAGTTTNTTTCAGCATTATTATTAAAACCTAATTAATTATGTTGAACATTCTAATTCATTGCTGTAAGACAACAGGTGCAATCATGATGGACTGCACTCACTGCAGTTGCCTAGCTACCATGCTTCTTCATCAATTGCAATTATGATCAATGTGGCCAATTGTTAAGGATTGATATGAACTATAAAATATTATGATTGAAGCAGATTATGAAGATGACAGAAACTGATCAAAATTTATACTTGATACAAGCCATAAAAAATTGAGGCTGAGGCTGATACTGATTGAAATATCAGAATTGAATGAAATTGACACAACTTGATTAATTTGACTTTAAATAAGTACCCTTCAAATTGCAATATTTAAATTTCAATGATCTTTTATTTTCTTAGCCAAGTAACAATTTTTGATAGATTCTTAGGTTGCAAATTACTTCTTAGAAATGATAAATTTTAGAAAATGCATACAAATAAACATATCAGTCTTCATACTTTCCTGTACAAGCGGAAGAAATTTTGAATTTATTCATAGATATTTTTATGCATGCCCCTGATAGGGTTAGATAGCAATTTGTTGGCGAGATCTTATAAAGGTGCATTTTGAAGCTGATAGGTTGCCACACTAGATATTCATATGTTTGTTCACTCACTGCACATTCTGCACCCTGCTGAGCTGCTTGATTTGCAAATTCATAGCAAATATTTGGACCATCTTTAATGTAGATGAAAATATTATAGCACTTACTTTGTATTTTATTTATATTTGTATAAATATTTTTATATTTAGATTTTAACTGGTACAGGCTTTACTATTAATTAAAAAAATGTTTTCACATGCCCACTAGATTTAACTCCAATTTAATTATTGATAAAATTTTACAATTGAGCCAAATGATTTAAAAATTAGACATTATGTAACATTGGAGCTGCAAGATCATAGCAAGATATAGGATTTTTAGTCTTGTATACAATAATGCAGGAGTGGATTAGTGGAATACAAATAATTTCCAAGCCATTAGTAGAGCTTCCTTGCCATTTTGTAAGCTGCAATATCATGGCTAGATGAATTACCTCCCATCTGCATCTACTACTTACCAAAGAATTTTGATACCAAATTCCAAAGTAGGCATGCATAGAAAAATGCATGCAGAACAAAATAGAACTAGCACACTGGTCAATTTAATCTTGATTGCCACTTGCTGCCGGCTGCTGCTGGGAAGCATTTTTGCTTATCTTCATGGCCATAGTGGGCTAGTCCCTAGTGGCAAACTGGAGATTTTTTAGAATCAGTTCATTTTCAATTTCCTCATTTACCCATGATTTAAACCAAGGCAATATCTTATGTAGGATAATGCTGGTATCCATGATACTTTACTGATCTACTTATACTGAAGTTATAAGACTCAATCTCAAAATTGAACTGGAGGAAGAGTCTAAAAAAACTCTGCTTTGCTGCTAAGCTCCATGCATAAGTATAACTGACAGAAAAAATTATTTCATAGGTAATTATTGAAAATTGCAGACAAACAAGTGTCACTGCTTTCAATTCTTACTAAGGAAATTATTCAAGAGCCATAACTGCCATATCATTGCCCAGCATATGTACATGTGAAGTTGAGTAGGGTAAACGCGGTATATTCCGACACATTAAGGACGCATCAAGAAATGAAAAACTATAAAAAAACGTATGCGTTATGTAAGTTCTGTTGCCTTCACATGACTCTCAAAACACTTCACTACGCGTCAGCAACGATGAAACGGCACAAAATGTTGCCATATTTATTAAAAAGCCTTTAGAATGGAAACCTACCAAATCCCTATATTCCGTCACTGTGTGTGGCAATATTCGACACGTGGTGAGTCGTATTGCGTCAGCGCTTCAAATTTAACTGATATGTATTGCCGACATCCACGTGTTTGAATTCTGTTTGCTGTGTGAGCTGTATTGGGATACAACACGGCTTTGAATTAGAACACTAACGAATATTGAACACTACTTAATTACGTTTTAATTAACAGCTATTAGGCTTTTAATTTGTCTCTTATCAATTTTTGTNCTTTCAGCTTTCCAGCTGTAGTTGGATAATGGAATTGTAATGTTATCTGCTTTCTAGCTGTGATTGTTTGATAGGGATGCTTTCAAGCTGTGATTGGTTGATGGGGATGCTTTCAAGCTGTGATTGGTTGTGCCCATAAGCCCCGCCCCCAAGTATGGTATATGTACTACTACTACAGTACTAGTTAACTAAATACTTGACTGAAACTTGATCATTACAAACAAAAGGCCTGGAAAATTTAAAAAATCCATCAAATAAATGACAAATAACAAGTGACATCTAAATAATTCTTTTACAAATTTAATTTACTAGTATAAAATTTAAACATTTTGTCCACAGTCCACTTTTGATCCACCTTTTCATTTATAGTCACCTTAGTCATTCACCTGGAAGAGCACTGTGGGAATGGGAAAGCTTTTCAGCATGGGTGGAAAGCTTTTTGATAAGTGAACTTCCATTCTTAGAATTCCAGCCTGGGTGACAGAATTACCTACGATGTCGGAATATACCGCGTTTACCCTAAGAGCTGAGACTCTGAGAGCAAAGACCCCAAAGGGATTTTTGTCTCATACAGAACAGAGGTGGCACCTTATTGATATTATACAATTTCATTTTGCCTTGGACTTGGTGCTGACTGCTGAGCAGCTGAGTCAAGTTCTGACCTGACAGTTACAGATTACAGCTCAGCTGTCTATTAGCAAGATTTAAGAAATTTCTTTAGGTAAATTGTTGTCAAACTATTTGAAATGAACAGTAAAATTGTATATTGACATTCATATATTCTTTATATGTTAAAATACCTATATGATTATGTTATATTAAAATATACAAAGTTATTGTGAATATAATTTTTTGGGAAAATATTTCAGGCTAATAGCGCTAGTCGAGGCCCTTGGGCCGTTAAACTTACATAGTGTGAGTTTTTGCGTGATCATTCACCAAGCTTTGGCCGACAGAACGTCCAGGAAAATCATAAAATAGTCCTGGTTTAGGACCATTTGACCAGAGAGGCGGTGCTTCAATATTCATATTGTCCGTGTTGTATTCGCCAATTAGTAGAAAGGGCACGGCGGCACGCAGCAGAGGCAACAGTCAACTCTTCTGCGACCTAATACCTACGGAATGACAAGCATAACTACATAAGCCACAAGTGGCGGCGTGAGCAAAACGCGGATACTGAAAACATTTTTCTTTACCGTCTTTTTGGGTTATAATTTTTTGAACTCGTCGCTTGCACACGATTTAGATTAAGGCTATTATTCTTATTTGATTAAACTTGAAAGAATTTTGTTAGTGCAATATATTTCATAAACATTATGGCTTGAAAGCTCATTAGAAATTAAGGTGCTTGTACAAGGGGATAGTGCAATCAATGGTTGAATTATATAAGGTTGACACACGAGAAGTTCCGCCTTTCAGTTCAGCTTTCTTGTTACGTCACGTTGATCGAGAAACGTAGACAAAACCGTCATTCCCACGACGGATTTGTTGACCCGTGGTTGAACTATATAAAGTTGACCTACGAGAAGTTCCGTCTTTCAGTTCAGCTTTCTTGTTACGTCACGTAGATCGAGAAACGTAAACAAACCCGTCATTCCCATGACGGATTGGCTGAATCGTTTGATCGCATTTCGGTGATTAGTTAATGCCCGTGACGTCACTGAGATCAGTGACGTCACAGGCGAGCAATGTAGCCCGTAATAATCACTACATAAAAATCTTTTATAGCTTTGAATTTATATATGCTTTTTTTGCAAGATTCTTTTTCAGTAATTAAAATTTAATTTTTAACGAAATCTGCGGCAATAATTTGCACCAGCTCGGTATTCTTTCTGCTACGATTTACGAATTTAATCTTTGATGATCTTTTACAGCAGCGAGCATTTCCTTTCAACGTCCGAGCTAACTTTGTACCTTGCTTAACCACAGTTTTTTTTATTTCTTCAGAACTTGCGGGTTGGGCATGCGTGGGAGCGAGTTGCGGCTCCTTTGCCTCTTCACGCGCGTTGTAGAGGAGCCGCTCCTGCAATTCAATTGGCAGTACAGAGCAACTTCTTGGAGTTGAGGGCAATTTATACCATCTTGCGATTTTTCAATAAAGAAAAGATCGTTTCAACCATGGTTTAACTCTAGTTTGCTTGCCTTCTATTTCATTTTATAAGCTCGTTCCTCAAAGTTTTGTCCAGTTTTAGACGGTCATTCACCATCAAAAAGTTCTATTATTGTTATTATTATTATTATAGTTCTATATTATTATTAACTGTGACCAACATTATTAAATGCAAATCTCGTATATGCAAATATATTTTTTAATGTGACGAGTGAACTACGTGAGAACACTATAAAGTCATTTTGAGAATTAGAGCAGGGTGGCCCAGTGGTTTCGGTTCAGAGTACCAAGATTTGAGCAGAGAGTCGCGACTCGGTGCGACAGCTACTGGTCAGAATCGGCGAGGAGGCCGGGCGGTTAGGCTCAGCAGAATTGGAGCAGTGACTTGGGTGTTCGAGACCGCATGAAGCTGTGAATGTTCTGCGGAGTTAAGAATCAGCGACAGGCATATATACGGCCTAACAAACGCTGAAACTGCTATTATTGTTATTATATTATTATTATTCTTATATTATTATAATTAACTGCGACTAAGAGGTCAAGATCCATTATCAAACGTATTTTTTTAGCCATAAATGATTCATATTCGCATATTTTATTGATGAGGCTACCGTCAACTTCAAAGATTCCTCCTCTAATGCAAATTTCTGCATGCTCTGTCAGGAGTTTATTGACTTATCGCGCGTGTATGTCACAAAGATGCGTAGGATGGTGGAACGATTGTCCTGCTCTCGGTCTAATATCTTACACATTTTAATTCAATCCTGTCATAAAGAATTGTA